ACCACAGTGCAGACCCCTGTTTTAATTTTTTCAAAAATTTCTTATTTATTTGAATGATAGAATGTTAGAGAAAGAACTTCCATCTTCTGGTTCACTCCTCAAAAGCCTGCAACAGAAAGGGAGGGAGGGAGTAAGGAAGGGAGGGGAGAGAGAGAGAAAGAATCTTTTCCATTCACTGGTTCACTTCCCAAAAGCCTGCAACAGCTGGAACACTGGGGCAGACCGAAGCCAGGAACCAGGAACTCCATTCTTCATGTGGGTGGTAGGAGCCCAATACTTGGACCATTTTCTGCTGCCTTCCCTAGCACTTTGGAGGAAGCTGGATCAGAAGTGGAACAGCCACAACTCAAACTGACACTCAAGTATGGCATGCTGGCATCACAGGCAGTGCCTTAACCCACTCTGTGCCACTATGCTGGCACAGATTTATATTTTAATTTTGGTGTCTGTGTATTTATTGGGGGTATATAAAATACATACTTTTAAAGATTTATTTGAAAGGCTCAGATAGAGAAGAAGAGTGAGATTTTCCATCCACTGATTCATTCCCCAAATGGCTGCAATGGCTGGGGCTGGGCCAGGCTGAAGCCAGGAGCCAGAAGCTTCTTCCAGGTCTCCCACGTGGGTGCAGGGGTCCAAGAACTTGTACCATCTTCCTCTGCTTTCCCAAGTGCATCAGTAGGGAGCTGGATTGGAAGTAGAGCATCCAGGACCCAAACCAGCACCCATATGGGATGCTGGCACCACAGGCAGAGACTTAGCCTTCTAGGCCACTGTGCTGGCCCCCAAAATACATTTTTTTTGAAAAGATTATTTATTTGAGAGGCAGAGTTACAGAGAGAGGAAGAGACAGAGATCTTCAGTATGCTGGTCCACTCCCTAAATAGCCGCAATGGCTGGAACTGGGCCAATCTGAAGCCAGCAGCCAGGAGCCAGGAGCTTCTTCTGGATCTCCCATATGGGTGCAGGGGCCCAAGCACTTGAGTCATCTTCCACTGCATTCCCAGGCAGTAGGAAGCTGGGATTCCCAGTACGGAGCTGGATCGGAAGTGGAGCAGCCAAAACTTGACCTCGTGCCCGTAAGCAATGCTGGTGCTGCCAGTGGAGGCTTAACCTACTGCATTTTTTTTTTTTAAAGAATTTATTTATTTGTTAGAGTTACACACACACACACACACAGAGAGAGAGAGAGAGAGAGAGAGAGAGAGAGAGAGAGAGAGAGAGATCTTTTATCCACGGGTTCACTTGGATGGCCACAATGGCCAGCACTGGGCCAGGCCAAAACCAGGAGCTTCTTCCATTTCTCCCAGATGGGTGACAGGGACCTAAGCACTTGGGCCGCCCTCTAGTGCCTTTCCTAGGCCATTAGCAGTGAGCTGAATTGGAAGTGGAGCAGCCAGGACTCGAGCCAGTGTGCACATGGGATGCCAGTGTCGTAGGTGGCAGCTAACCTGCCAGCTCCATAAAAATACATTTGATTTTTGTATGTTTATCTTGTATATTGCAGGTTTGTTGTATTCACTTATTTTAGGAGGGTTTTTTTATTTTTTATTTTTTGGTAGATTCTGTAGGCTTTTCTACATAAACAGTAATGTCATCTGTATATAGGGATAATTTTTGTTTTCCTTTTGGATCTACATGCTTTTATTTTGTTTTCTTACATTTTTTGCATTTCTTACATTTGTGCTGTAATTTCCAACATCATGTTTATTTTTTTTAAGATTTGTTTATTTGAAAGGCAGAGCTACAGAGAGGCAGAGAGAGAGAAAGACAGAGAGAGGTCTTCCAATCCACTCGTTCACTCCCTAGATGGTCGCAACAGCTGGAGCTGTGCTGATCTGAATCCAGGAGCCAGTAGCCTCTTCCCGATCTCCCACGTGGGTGCAGGGGCCCAAGGACTTGGGCCATCTTCTGCTTTCCCAGGCCATAGCAGAGAGCTGGATCGGAAGTGGAGCAGCCGAGACTCAAACCGGTAACCACGTGGGATGCTAGCCCTTTAGGCAGCGGCTTTACCTGCTACGCCACAGTGCCAGCCCCACACCGTGTTTAAATAAGTGGTAAGAGTGAACAGTATTGGCTGGCGCCGTGGCTCACTAGGCTAATCCTCCGCCTTGTGGCTCTGGCATACTGGGTTCTAGTCCCGGTCAGGGCGCCGGATTCTGTCCCAGTTGTCCCTCTTCCAGGCCAGCTCTCTACTGTGGCCAGGGAGTGCAATGGAGGATGGCCCAAGTGCTTGGGCCCTGCACCCCATGGGAGACCAGGATAAGTACCTGGCTCCTGCCATCGGATCAGCGCGGTGCGCTGGCCGCAGCATGCCAGCCACGGCCATTGGAGGGTGAACCAACGGCAAAGGAAGACCTTTCTCTCTGTCTCTCTCTCACTGTCCACCACTCTGCCTGTCAAAAAAAAAAAAAAGAGTGCACAGTATTGTCCAGTTTCCAATCTTAGGGATAAACTGCTCACTTTTACTGTAAGTAGGTTAGCTACTTTTTTTCTTTTTGAAGATTATCAATTAAGAATGATTTTCTTCCTATTTTTCTGAGCATGTTTGAAAATCAAGAATGGATATTGAATTTTGTCTAATGATTTTTTAAAAAAGAATTATTTACTTATTTGAAAGGCAAAGTTAGAGAAATCTTTTTTCCGTTGGTAGGTCCTACTCCAAATGGCTGGGCCAAGCGTGAAGCCAGGAGCTAGGAGCTTCATCTGGGTCCCCCTGTGGGTGTTAGGAGCTCAGGCACATGGGCCATCTTCTGCTGCTTTTCCAGGTGCATTAGCAGATTGCTGGATCTGAAGTGGAGCAGCTGGGACTGGAACCAGTTGCCCATATAGGATGCCGACGTCACAAGCAGCGTCTTAACCTGCTGTGTCACCATGTGGGTCCCTCAAACTTCTTTTTTTTTTTTAAAGATTTATTTGAAAGAGTGATGGGGTGTGGGAAAAGAGAGAGCGAGAGATATCTACCATCTGCTGATTGACTCTCCAAATGCCTGCAACAGATGGGTCTGGACTAGGTTGAAACCAGGAGCTAGGAACTTTATCTTGGCCTTCCACATGGGTGGCTGCGGGCTCTGAAGTATTGGAGCCATCTTCTACTGCTTTCCCAGATTCATTGTAGGAAGCGGGATCACAAGTGGAGCAACCTGTGCCTTTGTCACAAGTGGTGGCTTAACTCACTTCACCACAGTGTCAGCCCTTGTCAAATGATTTTTATGCATTCATTGATAAACTGATTTTTTTTTCTTCTCTGTAGTGCTAATATGGTAAATTACACTCATGAGAATGTAGGGGCCTAAGCACTTGGGCCATCCTCCACTGCTTTCTCAGGCCATTAGCAGGGAGCTGGATCTGAAGTGGAGTGGCAAGGACTCAAATTGGCTTCCATATGGGATTCTGACATCACAATCAGTGGCTTAACCTGCTACGCCACACTGCTGGCCCTAATGATTTATTTATTTTTATTCAAAAGACAGAGTTACAGAGACATACATATGCGCATGCACACACTCAAACACACATGCACACAGGTATCTCTATCTACTGGTTCACTCCCCAAATGGCTGTAGCATCCAGGGCTGGACCAGGCTGAAGCCAGGGACTCCATCCAGGTCTCTCAGTTGGTGGCAGGGGCCAAGTACTTGGACCATCTGCTGCTGTTTCCCAGTAGCATTAGCAGGGAGCTGTATTGGAAGCAGTAGAGGCAGGACTCCAATTGGCGCTTCTGTATAGAGTACTGATGTTGCAAGTGGCAGCTTAACCTGCTACACCATGATGGTGGCCTCTCCATCAAAATTTTAAATTTTTATATGCTTGGATACAATGAATTCCACCTTTAAGGATCTATGCTAAATAGCAAAAAAACCTTAAAGCTCTGTAATTAAATATTCTTGGAGCATTATTTATAATAGTAAAAAGTCAGTGAGAACCTAGATGTCAGTCAGTTTTGGACTGTTGAATAATGTGATATTACATTATATAATATGAAGTAAAAAAAGATGAAGCATATACGTGTATGATTGTGAGTATGTAGGTAGAATTCATGATGTATATATAAATAACAAAAGCAAGTTGCAGATCAGAATTCTGTTTTTACTAAGAAAAAGTATGCCTATTTTTGATTTCATGACAGGTGTATATAAATTGAATAAAAAAGAAGGGGGACTCAGCTATGAGCAATAGTTACTGTGTGTGACTGAAATTGAAGGGAGAGGGAAGGAAAGAGACATAATAAGGGGCTTTCAGTTTTATTCTACATAATTTTTAAGTTGTGGCATTTAGGTGATTTTTACTTTTTTTCTGTGTTTTCCAATTGAAATAAATAAAAAGAATTGCATGAATGAAGTCTGTAAGCTAACTTGTATATGTATTTTAAATTAATATTATAGTTATAAGCTTTTTTTTAAAGATTTATTTATTTATTTGAAAGTCAGAATTACACACAGAGAGAGTCGAGAGGCAGAGAGAGAGGTTCACTCCCCAATTGGCTGCAACGGCTGGAGCTGCGCCGATCCAAAGCCAGGAGCCAGGAGGTTCCTCCGGGTCTTCCACGTGGGTGCAGGGGCCTAAGGAGTTGGGCCATCTTCTACTGCTATCCCAGGCCGTAGCAAAGAGCTGGATCAGAAGAGGAGCAGCCAGGACTCGAGCCGGCGCTTAGATGTGATGCTGCTACTGCAGGCCAGAGGGTTAACCCACTGCGCCACAGCGCCGGCCCCTGTTACAAGTTTTTGAAAGTGAAGGTTGCAGCACATACTATTCTCTCTTCCAAACTCTGTCAAGTAGGAAGAGCTGAAGTGTGGAGAAACACTTTATCAACTTTAAGAAGAGAAAACTAGAAATGAATATTTGGATTTTCTAGCGTACTACTAAAATTTTTTCTACAATTTGAGCCTTTCTTTTAGCCAACTTGATACTTATGTTAAGCAAGTGCCTTGTTTTTTAAGGGCCTCCTTTTAAAAAATGTGTATTTCCTGTTTTTGTTTTTGTTTTTTTTTTCCTGACAGAAATGACATCAGATGTACCATCACTCGGTCCAAACATTACCTCTGGAAACCCTGGGCCAGCCATTCAAGGTGGAGGAACCATTGTCCAGAGGGCTGTTAAGCGGCGACCAGGGTGCGTTTGAGTATGGTGTGTCATGAGAGTCCCTTCTGTAAATCACTTGATTTAGTAGTTGCTGAACCCACTTGGCTGTTTCTGACCCTCTCACTTCTATTGGTTACTTACTATACTGCCAACGTGTAACTCTCCTCAGTCCGTGGTTTTTATTTTTATTTTATTTTATTTATTTTATTTTTTATTTTGACAGGCAGAGTTAGACAGTGAGAGAGAGAGGGAGAGACAGAGAGAAAGGTCTTCCTTCTGTTGGTTCACCCCACAAAGGGCCGCTACTGCTGGCACGTTGCAGCCAGCGCTGATCCGAAGCCAGGAGCCAGGTGCTTCCTCCTGGTCTCCTATGTGGGTGCAGGGCCCAAGGACTTGGGCCATCCGCCACTGCCTTCCCAGACCACAGCAGAAAGCTGGACTGGAAGAGGAGCAACCGGGACAGAATCCGGTGCCCCGACTGAGATTAGAACCCAGGGTGCCGGTGCCGCAGGCGGAGGATTAGCCTAGTGAGCCACGGCACCGGCCAGTCTATGGGTTTTACTTTATTTTTAAAAATTCTTTTTTTTAAAAAAAGAACATCTATTTATTTATTTGAAAGGCAGAGTGACAGAGAGGAAGACAGTGGCAAAGAGAGAGGGAGGGAGGAGATAGATTGATCTTCCATCTGCTGGCTCACTCCCCAAATGCCCACAACAGCCTGGGGTAGGCCAGGCTGAAGCCAGGAACCAGGAACTGCATCTGGGACTCCCATAATGGGTGGCAGGGATCCAGACAATAGGGCCATCATCTGCTGCATCCAGGGTGCATTAGCAGGAAGCTGGATCAAAAACACAGCAGCTGGGACTTGAGCCAGCTCCTATATGAGATATGGGTGTCCCATGTGGCAGCTTCCATTCCTGCCCCATTTACTTTATATAAAAGTGATGCTTTTATCCAAGTCTCTGTAAGCAGTTTTTTTCCCCCAAACCAAAAAGGCTCTGCAAGATCAAAGACTGTGGCTAAGCTGAAGGATTTACTATTGCTGAGAAAACTGTTCACTGCTTTATCTGCATTCTGCAAATCATTTTGTTGGGTTTCTTTTCTGAATTTAGAGAGTGCTGAACTCTACAATAGTTCTTTTTCAAGTTACTGGTATCTTGTTTGGTTTATATAATACAGAGTCCAATCTGTTACAAAGTATTTATTTAAAAATTTAAATCTAATTTTATTTATTTGAAAGAGAAAGAAACAGATCCAAAGAGTTTGCCCATCTGCTAGTTTTTTTTCCCAAATGTCTATAATAGCTGGAGCTGGGCTAGGCTGAAGCTAGGAGTCCAGAACTTAATCCAGGTCCCCTACACAGGTTGTAGGAACCCAAGTATTGGAGCCATCACCTCCTGCTTTCCAGGGTGTGCATTAGGAGGAAGCTGGAATTAGAAAAGGAGTCAAGACAGAAACCTAGGCACTCCAATATGTGATATGGGTGTCCTAAGCAGTGTCTTATCTGCTGTACCAAATGCCCACCCCCCAGTAGTATTTATTAAATACCTAATAAATATATGGCATTATCTGATTGCTAATATGATACAAAGATAAACAAGATACAGTTGTATGTATTCTTTTTTATTTTTATTTGAAAGAGTTACAGAGAGAGGTAGAGACAGAGGGAGGTCTTCCATCCACTGGTTTACTCCCCAGATGACTGCAACGGCCAGAGCTGTGCTGATCCAAGGCCGGGAGCCAGGAGCTTCCTCTGGGTCTCCCTTGCGGGTGTAGGGGCCCAAGGACTTGGGCCATCCTCCACTGCTTTCCCAGGCCATAGCAGAGAGCTGGATTGGAAGAGGAGCAGCCGGGACTAGAACTGGCACCTATATGGGATGCCGGCGCTTCAGGCCAGGGCTTTAACCCGCTGCACCACACCGCTGGCCCCAGTTGTATATATTCTGAATTCTGATAGAGATAATCATTACACACATAAATACAAGATAGAATATGTCAAGTGTTTTTTTTTTCTCTAAATTTTACTGTTTATTTATTTGAGAGAAACAGTTGCAGAGAGAGAGAGAAGAGAGAGAGAGAGAGGATGGCCTTCCATCCTTTGGTTTGCTTCCCAAATGGCAGCAACGGCCAGAGCTGGGCCGATCTGAAGCCAGGAGCTTCTTCCTGGTTTCCCATGTTGGTGCACGGACCCAAGGACTTGGGCCATCTTCTACTGCTTTCCCAAGCACATTAGCAGAGAGCTGGATTGGAAGTGGAGTCATCGGGACTCAAAACAGGTGCCCATATGGGATGCTGCCACGGCAGGCAATGTCTTAACCTGCTATACCATAGTGCTGGCTCCAGAATATGTCAAGTTTTATAGGAAGGGAACAAATACAGTGTTTTTCAGTGTATGGATGTAACACATTTGATTGGTATAGATTGGGAAAAGCTTCAGAAAGGAGGTTGCTTTTAAGGGCCTGGAAGAATGGATAATATTTTAGCCATATATTGGCATTAAATTTCCCTTTCTCTTTTAAAAAATATGTAGCTAATATTATAACTATTCTTTTAGTTTTACCACTAATAATGTAAGAGTGATCCCTGGGTTAAGTGGTATCATGTGTAAATATTAAGCCATGTTATGTGTTCAAGAACTTTACACATTTTAATTCATACACTGAGTCATAGGGTGAAAAAGTAACCCAACTTTCTAGCTTTCTGACATTAGTAAGTGGCAGACCTGGGATATGAACCTTAGGAGTTTGGCTTTAGAGTCTTACTCTTTTTTTTTTTTTTTTTTTTTTAACATTTATTTATTTTGAAAGTTAGTTACAGAGAGAAAGAGGAGAGAGAGAATCTTTCATCTGCTGGTTTGCTCTCCAGATGGTCGCAATGACCAGCATTGGGACAGGCTGAAGCCAGGTGCCAGGTGCTTTATTCAGGTCTCCTGTGAGGATGGCAGGGGCCCAAACACCTGGGTCATTTTCTGCTGCCTTTCCCAGGTTCATTAGCAGGGAGCTGGATTGGAAGTGGAGCAGCTGGGATGGCTGCGTTTCAAGAAACAGTTTTACCCACTGCACCACAATGCCAGCCCCCTAATTGGCATTTTAACCACTAAGCTAATTGCCCATCTGTACCATTAATTTTTTAGTATATTTCCTTCAGTCTTTTTTCTGTATATAAATCCCTTAATAATTATATGATGTAATTATATAGTTTTGTGTAGTTGGCTTTCTCATCTAACCCAATATATTTAATAACCTTTTACATATTGTTGCATAGTCTATGTAGAATAATTTTTAATGATTGCATAAAATGATGTGATTAAATTTTTAAAAAATATTTGTTTATTTATTTGAAAGGCAGAGTTAGAGGGAGACAGACACACGCACACACACACACACACACAGAGAATCTTCTATCCGCTGGTTTATTCCCTAAATGGCCAGAAAGGCCAGGGCTGGGCCTGGCTGAAGTCAGGAACCTGTAACTCCATCCAGGTCTTACACATAATGGCAGGGGCCCAAGTACTTGGGCCATCTTTTGTTGCCTCCCCAGGTGCATTAGCAGGACTGGATCAAAAGTGGAGCAACTGGGACCTAAACCACTGGAACCTGGCACCCATATGTGATGCCAGCATCCCACATGGTGACTGAATTTGTTGTGCCACACTCTGACACCATGTAATTAATTCTTGGGCATTCTATTTTGAAGATTTTGCTTTTGTTAAGTAATAATGCAATAAGCTTCTTTGTATTGCTTCTCTCTTTCACATTATTTCTTTAGAGTAATTGTAAGGAATAGAGTAGGGGCCTAGGATTTTGATAGATAATAAGGGGCTTCAAGAAGGAGGAGGAGGAACAAATGTTTTCAGAATTGATGCCATGTGTTCCACATGCAACCCACCCAGAGGCTCCTAATACCAGGTTATCCCACTCGCAGATACGCCAAGAGTTATCACTGGGTTATGGTGGTAACAAGAACAGCATTTTGGCTTAATTAAGTACAGAGATTAATAGGAGATTGGCCTACTTTATTACCTAATACTTTCTCTAATCCCATGAAAGTCACCTTTCCTTTCACTAATTGTAGCATATTGATTGTGCCATTCCCATGGTACTTTCCCTTTCTCATTTAGTTTATAATTTGTACTTGCCTAGCCAAAAAGTCCCTTGAGGGAAAAGTTCTTATTTTTGCTTCACCTAGCACAGTGTCTTGAATGTGGTACCTATTGTATTGTGTATTAAATGAGTGAAGGAAAGAAGCATTATCTAACAACCTTCTTAAGTCTTGTATAATTCCCTTATGTAACATCACTGTTTTGAAAGATGTTTCAGAGGGGCAGACATGGTGCAGCGGTTTAAGCCACTGTTTGGAACAACTGTGTCCCATGCTGGTTCAGGTCCTGGCTACTCCACTTCCAATCCAGCTTCCTGCCAGTGTGCCTAGGAGGGTAGTATTTGATGATCCCAGTGCTTGAGTCCCTGCCACCGTGGTGGGAAATCTGGATGGAGTTCCTTTTTTTTTGACAGGCAGAGTGGACAGTGAGAGAGAGAGACTTCCTTTTCCATTGGTTCACTCCCCAATGGCCAGTGGCACACCGCGCTGATCCAAAGCCAGGAGCCAGGTGCTTCCTTCTGGTCTCCCATGTGGGTGCAGGGCCCAAGGACTTGGGCCATCCTCCACTGCCCTTGCGGGCCAAGCAGAGAGCTGGACTGGAAGAGGAGCGACTGGGACAGAATCCGGCACCCCGACCGGGACTAGCACCCGGTGTGCCGACGCTGCAGGCAGACGATTAGCCTAGTGAGCCGCGGTGCCAGCCTGATTGGAGTTCTTGCTCTTATTTGGCTTTGCCCAGCCTCAGCTTTTTCAAGCATTTAGGGACTGAACCAACAGATGGAACATCTCTCTCTCTCTCTTTCCCTCTCTCCTCTCTTTGTCACTCTGCCTTCCAAAAAAAGGAAGGTAGAAGGTGTTTAAGAAAGCTGGCAGCATGGCTTAGAGTAGACCATAGAAATAAAAAATGGGCCTGAGGTAATCATGTTGATTTTTTTTCTTGTCCATTTTGAGTGGATTCCTGCTCCTTTCATAGAGATTGCTATACTTTGAGGCAAAAACTTTGGCAAATGGGGACTGCTACCCAGGGAAGTGTTGAGGTAGCTGTAGGTGTTCCTTTAGTCTAGTGCTCAGCTTCTTTGCTTATCTAGGCACTATGACATCAATGTGGTGGAGATCTTTTGACTTCTGCTTACTTTCGCTTTTTCCTTTTCTGTTTGAATGTGTGCACAGATAGCTTGTGTTCACAAATCTTAATTTTTTTAATATTTTGTAGTATTAGTAGATTTACAATATTTATTGTTGGTTTTCCTAGGCTGGATTTTGATGATGATGGAGAAGGGAACAGTAAATTTTTGAGGTAAGATTTTGAAGAACTTTCTCTACATTTCTGATATTAAACATTCAGTAAAATTAAAAATAAATTAAAATGCACTAAAATTAAAAATACTTTCATCCTTAGGCTTAAGGAGAATGTTTTATCCTAAAACTTAAAATTTTTATATTATGTACCAGAAAATTTTCAAGCATTCTGTTAATAATTCCAGAGAAGAGACTTGGGGAGAAGCACATAGTTTACAAGACCTTCTGTATCAATTATCTATAGGTGCATAGCTTAAAAAGAACAACAGTTCATTATTTCTCACAGCTCTCTGAATTAACTGTGTGGTTTTTCTGTTGATCTTTCCTAGACCCACTCTTCAGATGGTATTCAACCAGCTGGTCAGCTCTGAGCACTTGACTCAGCTGGGCTGGCTGGTATCCGCATGTGGTCTTTTGTCTCCAGGGAGGCCAGGCTTCACTTGGCCATGGCAGCATTCTAAAGGCCACTCTCAATGCGCAGTGCTTATCAAGCCTCCTCATGTATGACATTTGCTAACATCTCATTGACCAAAGCAAATCGTATATACAAGTCCTGAGTCAGTGTGGGAGGAGGCTGTACGAGAGAGTGGATACTAGGAGGTATAACTTATTAATGTACTACTTTATCACACTCTTTGATACCAGTTCACTCCTACAGGTATCAGGAATTGGAATTTGTATCCTTGAGTGATGAATCTTCTGGAACAATGAACATGGGCTTTTCAGTATATTCATGAATGGATTCTTTCAGAAAGGGGGGATATTCTTGATGAATACCAATTGCTTACCTTGTTTTCAAGTAAGAAAAGCTGTAAGACTCAAAGAAGGAAGATAATCTTGACTGCAACCTGTGTTTCACTTCCCAGAGTTGAAAGTATTACCCAGGTAGTCTGTATATTGCTGAGAAATATATTTGATAAGTAAAGGAACCTTATTTTTATTTTTTTAATGATTTATTTATTTATTTGAAAGAGTTAACACAGAGAGAGAAGGAGAGGCAGAGAGAGAGAGAGAGAGAGTGAGTTCTTTCATCCTCTGGTTCACTCCCCAATTGGCCACAATGGCAGGAGCTGGGCCAATCAGAAGCCAGGAGCCAGGAGCTTCTTCTGGATTTCTCACGTGGGTGCAGGTGCTCAAGGACCTGGGCAATCTTCCACTGCTTTCTCAGGCCATAGCGGAGAGCTGGATCGGAAGTGGAACATCCGGGACTGGAACTGGCGCACATATGGGGTGCCAGCACTGCAGACGGCAGCTTTACCCACTATGCCACAGTGCTGGCCCCACGACAGTAGTCTTGTAAAATGATAGTGGAGGGGCTGGCATTGTGGTGCAATGGATTAAACAGATTAATTGCTGTCTATGACTTACTCTGTATGTGCGCTGATTGGAATCTTGGCTGTGCAGCTTCTGATCCAGCTCTCTGGTAATGCTCCTGGGAAAGCAGTGGGAATTGGCCCAAGCGCTTGGCCCCCTGCCATCCATATGGAAGATCTGGATGGAGTTCCTGGCTCCTAACTTCATCCTGGCCCAACCCTTGTCATTTCTGGGGAGTGAACCAGCAGATAGAAGATCTTTCTGTCTGTCTTTCCTTCCTCCCCTGCCCCGTAAGTCTGACTTTCAAAATCAATAAATCTTTTTTTTAACTTTTATTTAATGAATATGAATTTCCAAAGTACAGCTTATGGATTACAGTGGCTTCCCCCCCCCCCCTTAACTTCCCTCCCATCTGCAACCATCCCCTTTCCCACTTCCTCTCCCCTTCCATTCACATCAAGGTTCATTTTCAATTCTCTTTATATACAGAAGATCAGTTTAGTATATATTAAGTAAAGATTTCAACAGTTTGCACCCACATAGAAACACAAAGTGAAAAATACTGTTTGAGTACTAGTTATAGCATTAAATCACAATGTACAGCGCATTAAGGACAGAGATCCTACATGAGGAGTAAGTGCACAGTGACTCCTGTTGTTGACTTTACAAATTGACACTCTTGTTTATGGCATCAGTAATCTCCCTATGCTCCAGTCATGAGTTTCCAAGGCTATGGAAGCCTTTTGGGTTCACTGACTCTTATCTTATTTAGATAAGGTCATAGTCAAAGTGGAAGTTCTCTCTTCCTTCAGAGAAAGGTACCTCCTTCTCTGATGGCCTGTTCTTTCCACTGGGATCTCACTCACGGAGATCTTTCATTTAGGTCATTTTTTTTTTTTTTTTTGATAGAGTGTCTTGGCTTTCCATGCCTGAAATACTCTCATGGACTTTTCAGCCGAATCAATAAATCTTTTTTTAAAAAAAAAGTGAAAATGATGCACTTTATGTTCCGTGTTTGTTTTTGCCACACACAGAAGTAAACTATCCCAAGCTTTAGAGTGGTGCTGAGAGGGCAGTCAGCTGTGTCCTCATGAAATCTTCATCTTTTTGGTGGGTTTGATAAGTAAGGGTAATGAAGACATCAGAAACCTGACAAATAATAGTTGTCGATTTTTAGAAAGTTTGTTATTTATCTGAAAGATAGAGCAGCAAAGAGCAAGGGAAATACTTTCCATTCACTGGCTGTTCAGGGCTGGGCCATACTGAAGTCAGGAGCTGGGAAGTCCATCCAGGTCTCCCATAAGGGTGGCAGTGACCCAAATACTTGAGCCCCAACATCTCTTGGCTCCCAGGGTGCACATCAGCAGGAAGCTGGATTGGAAACTGAGGTGGTACTTAGTCCCAGGCATTCCAGTATGGGATGCCAGCATCCCAAATGGTGGCTTAACAACAGTGCCACAACACCCTCCCCTAGACACAGATTTTTTTTAAGTTCTGTGGGATACTGTTATTATCTCTATTGATTTGTGAATCTTTTCTGTTGGCTTTTTTTTTCTGTTGAGTATTTTTTGCTCCTTTCTGCTTTTCATTGCATTGTGAAATAGATATGACAAATACAATGCTTTGAACTAATACTGTTTTTCTTCTGCAGGTGTGATGAAGATCAGATGTCTAATGATAAGGAGCGGTTTGCCAGGTAATGTAGTAGAGTGTCTTGGTTGATGGTGTGTGGGGACATGGCAGCTCAGTCATATTGAATTTTAATTTTATCTGGTTAAGAATGAATTTCTGAGTCCATTCTCTTTCCTCTTTTGAAAGGTGCTAAAATAGTGTTATAATGATCATTTATTTTTAGGTACATAGCTTCAAACTAGCAGTGTGTGTGTGTGTGTATGTTTTAAAGATTTATTTATTTAAAAAGCAGAGCAGCACAGAGGCAGAGAAATCTTTCATGTGGTGGCTTAATCTGCTGTGCTATTACACTGGTCCCTAGGGTATGTGTGTGTGTGTGTGTGTGTGTGTGTGTGTGTATATATATATATATATTTAAGATTTTATTTATTTATTTGAGATATAGAGTTACAGACAGTGAGAAGGAGAGGCAGAGAAAGGTCTTCCTTCTATTGGTTCACTCCCCAGGTGGCCGCAACTGCTGGATCTGTGCTGATCTGAAACCAGGAGCCAGGAGTTTCTTCCTGGTCTCCCATGCGGGTGCAGGGGCCCAAGGACTTGGGCCATCTTCTACTGCTTTCTCAGGCCACAGCAGAGAGCTGGATTGGAAGAGGGGCAGCTGAGACTAGGACTGGCGTCCAGATGGGACGTTGGCACCTCAGGTGGAGGATTAACCTACTGCGCCATGGCGCCGGCCCCACCCTAGTGTATATTTTATAGTGTTTTTCTCTGTATGTGATAGCCAAAGGAGTGTGCTTGCTAGATGTTTATGGAAACAGAAACTATGGAATTGTTCCACTTACTGTTAAATTGCTATGCAAAATCTGTGCAGATAATGGTTTTGTCTTTTAAAAATGACAATAGAGACAGTTTTTTGGAGACTAGAGTTTTGGCTGGAACTTAAAAGTTGTTGTTGTTGTTTTTTTTTTAAGATTTATTTTATTTATTTGAAAGAATTACAGAGAGTGGTAGAAACAGAGAGAGGTAGTCCATCCACTGGTTCACTCCCCAAATGGCTGCAACAGCTGGAGCTGGGCCGATCCAAAGCCAGGAGTCAGGAGCTTCTTCCGGGTCTCCCATGTGGATACAGGGACCCAAGGACTTGGACCATTCTCTGCTGCTTTCCCAGGTGTATTAGCAGAGAGCTGGATTGGAAGTGGAGCAGCCATGACTCTGGGATACCAGTGCTGCAGGCTGGGGCTTTAACCTGCTGTGCCACAGCGCCAACCCCAACTTAAAAGTTTTAAACATTGCTTGTCAAGATGATGAAATATATTTTTTACCTTTTATTAAACAATAAATCTGTCTCACTCTGGTTTTCTTTTTAGAAATTAATATATATTACTAAGCAATAAATTATTTCTTTTTTAAAAAATTAAATTTATGACTACCTCATAAAAATTGAATAACCTATTATTTTAAAATATATTACTTAACTGAGTTCTTACTATTTATTCCTTGCTGATGTTGCCAGTCTGTGGACCATACTTTGAGAACCACTGATGTAGAGGGCTAATACATATCAGGCAGAGTAGTGTTTTTTTTAAAGATTCATTTATTTATTTGAAAAGCAGAATTAGAGAGGCAGAGAGAGAGATGCCCTATCTGCTGGTTCACTTCCCAAGTGGCTGCAATGGCCAGAGCTGGGCTCATCCGAAGTCAGGAGCCAGGAGCTGCTTCCGGGTCTCCCACTCGGGTGCAGGGACCCAAGAACCTGGGCCATCTTCTACTGCTTTCCCATGCCATTAGCAGAGCTGGATCGGAAATGGAGCAGCACTGCAGGTGGTAGCCTCACCCCCTCTACCCAGCGCTGACCCCAGGCAGAGAATTTTTGAACACTGAGAAAATAAAATGCTTTGAGCATTGGTACAGGAAAGGAGTGAATTTAAGAGTGTTTAATTTCTTCCCTCCCCTGCCCTCCCCTCCCCTCCCCTTTCTTTTTCTTTTTTTTTTTTTTAAATATTTATTTTATTTATTTGAAAGACAGAATCACAGAGAGAGGTAGAGACAGAGAGAAAGGTCTTCCATCTGCTAGTTCACTCCCCAGATGGCTCCAATGGCCGGAGCTACACCAATCCAAAGCCAGGAGCTTCTTCCGGGTCTCCCACATGGGTACAGGGGCCCAAGGACTTAGACCATCTTCCACTGCTATCCCAGGCCATAGCAGAGAGCTGGTTTGGAAGAGGAGCAGCCGGGACTAGAACTAATGCCCATATGGGATGCCGAGCTACAGGCCAGGGCTTTAAACTGCTGTTGCACAGCGCCAACCCCCTATTTTTCTTATCTTGAGAGACAGAGAGAGAGGGGGATAGAGAGAGTTCCCTACCTCCTGGTTCGGTCCCCAGATGCCCACAGTGGGCTAGGACTGGGCCAGGGCTACAGCCAGGAACCAGGAACACAATCCAGATTTTGAATGTGGATGCCAGGAACCGAATTAATTGAGCATTACAGCTTCACCCTCGGCATTTGCATGTGTAGGAAGTTGAAGGGAAGAGCCAGAGCTAGGAATTGAACCTAGGCACTCCAGTGTAGCATGTGGGTGTCTTAATGGCTAAGCTAAATGCCTACTTCCTAAGAGGGTTTTGAAGAATTTATTTATCAAAGCTGATCGAAATAGATACTTATAAAGTCTTCAGTATGTGAACCTTCTGAAAAAGAAATTAATATAGATATATAGGGAATGGTTTTTCAAGCTGCATAAAAAGTTAAAACATCAGTTAATATGAGTGGTGTAGGTTCAGTCTCTTGACTGAAATTCCAAAAAGCCGTTAAATCATGATCTGAGCTATTTTAGTCTTCTTTTCTCCTGTTTTTTTTTTTTTTTTTTTTTTTAAATACAGATAGAGTTAGACAGTGAGAGAGAGAGAAAGGTCTTCCCTCTGTTGGTTCACCCCCCAAATGGCCTCTTCGGTCGGAGCTACACCGATCCGAAGCCAGGAGCCAGGTGCTTCTTCCTGGTCTCCCATGTGGGTGCAGGGGCCCAAGCACTTGGGCCACCCTCCACTGCTTTCCCGGGCCACAGCAGAGAGCTGGCCTGGAAGAGGAGCAACTGGGTCTAGAACCTGGTGCCCACATGGGATGCTAGCGCCGCAGGTGGAGGATTAACCGAGTGAGCCACAACGCCGGCCCCTTTTCTCCTGTTTAGTGTGAATATTTATATGCTTATGCACTACATTTAAAAATATTGAAGTAGATAAGAGGTTGTGGATCTGTTGTAATAATAGCAGTAGTAATAGAAATTTTAGATATTTAACTTTATTTCGAACAACAGAAATCATTCCTTTAAGATATCATTTGTTAAGGTATTTGACCTCATGTCTCCTTGGAAATTTAGTTCAGGGTGTTCAAATGCTGAAAATGTATCAACTTCTTCAGCTTTTTGAATAAAAATGTTTTATAGTTTGTCAGGGAACTTCCTAAAGGAAATGATCCAAGGAACATTCTAAACTACTTAAATCATTCCATTTTCTGTCTCTTCAGAATATATGAATAATTTGTACATGCTTCTCATTATTACAGTGTTACTCTGTGTGTGTATTTGAAGATTTATTTTCTTTATTTGAAAGGCAGAGTGATAGGGACAGAGAGAAAGAGATCTTCCGTTCCCAGGTTCACTGCCCAAATGTCTGCAACAGCTGGGGCCAGGCCAGGCTACAGCCAGGATTCAGGAACTCCATCCCTGTCTCCCATGTGGGTGGCAGGGACCCAAGTACTCGGGATCATCTGCTGCCGCTTTCCCAGGTACATTAGCAGGGAGCTGGATTGGAAGCATAGGAGCCTGAACTTGAACTGGCATTGCAAGGGTGGCAGCTTAACCTGCTATTCCACAGCACTGGCCCCTATTTTGTGTTTTCTTACTGGCCATTTTATTGAAATTTTCCCTAAAGTCAGTATAATTTTTAGTGGTGAAATATTTCAGCCTGTTAATGTCATGCTTTTATTAGATGCTTTATGGGAGGCTTCTTTATTACATATATGTGTATATATGTATGTGTGTATGTGTATATATGTATATAAATACATACACATATATAAAATCAAATTAAATACTGGTACACTGACCTTCCAACACTATGCCATTCCTTTACTTGCCACTCATTCTTAAAATATCTCAGTTTTCCACAAAAATTTAGTGATAATATTTTGTATCCTCCATCAGGAAAGAGAGAGTTGGTACTGGAGATTTAGTCATGTTGTGACTTTACTACAGAGAAATGTGAAAATGACTGAAGCGAAATTATGAGTTACTGTAGGAACAAATCAGTGATAGAGGACATATGTCAGAAACATTGCTCTCAGTTTCATTTATCTGATTGCTCTGGTGAAATCTGGTTGGTTATTTTGTCTGAGTGTGTGTGGGGGGTGGGGAAGAGATATTTGTAACCATTTGTTTCACACTCATCTTTACCTTTTTCAGTATAGAATAGCATACACATTCGGATGGAATTTCCTTTCCAGGTTGGGAGTAGTGTATGAGAATGGTTTCCTGAATTCTCTTGATTGGTTCTTGTTCAATCTCTGTATATCCTTACTCTTTACAGAGACTGATTGGCAAAGTACTTTCTGTGTTCAGGATCATAATAATTTATAGTATGTACTGGACTTGTTTTAATGTTGCCTTTGTCTTGTAAGTTATTTTTTATCCTAACAGATGATTTTACAGACTTACAGGCAAGGCTCCTGCCTGTGTTTCCAGTTTCCCCACCTATACTCTGCATCCATATTGTTCTGTTTCTTTTTCTTTTTTTTCTCTTTCCTTTCCTTCTTTTCCTTATTAACCTTTTTCTTTCCTCCTTCTTTTCCCCCCATCCCTCCCTCCCTTTTATTTTAATTTTAGCTTAGTTGATTAATTCTGTTTTTAGGTCGGATGATGAGCAGAGCTCTGCGGATAAAGAGAGACTTGCCAGGTAGGAGAACGGTGTCTTTTAGCATGATGAAGTGGACGATGCTGCTTTTTCTATCCTTTTTCTTACTCTGTCTTTTCTTCCCCCTTTCTCTTTGTGTCTTTCCTTATCTGTGGCAAGAGAGGACAAGAGTTTTTAGAAGTTTGGGTGTAACAGGAACTTTGGCTTCCCTCATCAGAAAGTTGGTGAGTTGAGGGAACTTTACTTAGGGATTTAAGAAATTACTATTAGTTTTTTCTCATTTTCACTTATGTCAATACTAAGTTTGACAGAACCCAAAGGTTTCAGAAATAATACAGCAATGCCAGTTGGTGCTTTAACAAGAAAATGTCCTTCTATCAGAAAAACAAAAAATATGTCTGTATTTGGAATTAACGCCAAGTATTTAGGCCTCAGCATTTGTGCATCTCTAGGAAACTCACTGTTCTTTTCCTGGTAGACTCCCAGCTAGATTACTAGGTCACAGTAGAACTGTGTAGTTGTGGTGACTGAATCCTTTTTGTGGTTTCCCAGAGAAGTCTTAGCTGCCTTGATGTGGCTGTTTAAAAGATCTGATTTCTGGACTTTAGTGTCAGAAACCTGTCAGATACAAGGAAGATTGAGGCTTTAAGCTAGAGTAGAATTGTGTGTCCTAGACAAAGTAGCTACATATGGCACCATTAGAATTTTCTTTGGAGACTTTTGTCCATAACATAGGAATATTATGCAAGAAATGTGCCCAAGTTTCTATGTTTTCTAGTCTTTGTGATTTGGGATACTTTAGTAGGAACTAATTCATTAATACCAAACCTGTTTTTAGTGTTTTTTTTTCCCCTTTATCTATCATTTATGTCTTTAAGCTGGGCCACAAACTCATTTTGCTGCTGTTTCAACTCATGTCTCCTACTAATACTTTCCTCTTTTTTTTTTTTTAAGATTTATTTTATTTATTTGAAAAACATGAGTTACACGCAGAGAGAGAGGTCTTCCATCCACTGGTTCACTCCCCAAATGGCTGCAATGGCTGGAGCTGAGCCAATCTGAAACCAGGAGCTTCTTCTGGGTCTCCCATGTGGGTACAGGTGCCCAAGGCCTTGGGGTCATCCTCCTCTGATTTCTCAGGCATATTAGCAGGGAGCTAGATCAGAAGTGGAACAGCTGGGACTCGAACCAGCACCCATATGGGATGCCAGTGCTGCAGGCCAGGCTTTAACCCACTGTGCTGCAGCACCAACCCCAAATACTTTTCCCTATAGAAAACTGATTTGGAATAATGTGAGGAAATCATTGCATTGGGAATGATGTCAGCCCTAGGAAAAGTCACTTAACACTTGACCTGTTAGCTTTTCTCAAAAAAAAAGACATGTGTATTAGATTAATCATCCCTCTCCGCTTTTGACAAAGAACTTTTGTTTAAATAAGATCCTTGGGGCATAGGAGGAAAAGCTGCCACCTGTAGTTGCCACCTGAGCTGGATTGGAAGTGGAGCAGTCGGACGCAAACTGGTGCCCACATGGGGTGCCGGCACCACAGACAGTGGTTTTACCCGCTATGCCACAGCACTTGCCCCAGTGGGTAGTGTTTTACAGTACCTTAAGTTTAGTGCATTGGCACTACATTCACATAAAGACAGTAGGACTTTGTGCATTTGTGGTACAAATAAATCTTCAAAACTTTGCAGTTCTGCCTTCTAATGTTATGAGATAAGCTTAACAACAAAGCAACATTTTATGAATCAACAAAATCTATACTATCAGCTCTTTTATCAGCTATTAAGCAACATACTTGAGTTTGCAAAAATTGGTTGTTTTATTTTCTAGCCTAAACAATTGAGCTATTAAACGTGTAGTCAACCAAATTGAGATTATTTGTCCTTTAGAAATTTAATTAAATCAACATTTTAAAGTACTATTGTTTCATAAAACATCTTTTTTTCTGAAAAAATGGTAATGTTCATAGTAAGTGAAGTTTCCAGGTCATGGAGGAAATTTGTGAGCCGGCGCCGTGGCTCAATAGGCTAATCCTCCACCTTGCGGCGCCGGCACACCGGGTTCTAGTCCCGGTTGGGGCGCCGGATTCTGTCCCGGTTGCCCCTCTTCCAGGCCAGCTCTCTGCTATGGCCAGGGAGTGCAGTGGAGGATGGCCCAGGTGCTTGGGCCCTGCACCCCATGGGAGACCAGGAAAAGCACCTGGCTCCTGGCTCCTGCCAGGATCAGCGCGGTGCGCCGGCTGCAGCGGCGGCCATTGGAGGGTGAACCAGCGGCAAAAGGAAGACCTTTCTCTCTCTGTCTCTCTCTCTCACTGTCCACTCTGCCTGTCAAAAAAAAAAAAAAAAAAAAAAAAAAAAAGGAAATTTGTTATCTGTTTGTTCTGCCTGCCTTATTAGTTTCTGTTCTATGCTTGCTCTGCATGAGGTTGGCAAACCCTTATTTTAACTTCTGAGACTTAAGCATCATTAAATCAAAATATCACATTGTTCAACAGCCTACTTGGTATCCATTTCATTCTTCTTGCTACCAAATGACCAGATGTGACTACCTGGATGGGACTTCTCTCTCTTTTATACAGGGAAAATCATAGTGAAATTGAAAGGCGACGGCGGAACAAGATGACAGCTTACATCACAGAGTTGTCAGACATGGTACCCACCTGTAGTGCCCTGGCTCGGAAACCAGACAAACTAACCATCTTACGCATGGCAGTTTCTCACATGAAGTCATTACGGGGAACTGGCAACACGTCCACTGATGGCTCCTATAAGCCGTCTTTCCTCACTGATCAGGTCTCTGGGGCTTAAAACCTAAGAGTCTAGAATCTGGGTGAATCTGTTGCAAGTTTTGATTTTTTTGTTGACAACAATTCAGCTCTTCAGGAAGAGCTTAGGTCATGAGGAAACGAGTTTCAACCCTTGGCCCATAGCATTAAGTGACTTGGTACAGTGAGAAGCAGAGAAGAGTTTTGAAAACTGTTTAGCAAGCTGATAGATATTTTGGAACTTAACTTACAAATACAATAGGGTTGAAGAACAGTAGTGGAATCACAGAGGGATTACCACACCAATGGAATAAGTCCTCTTCCTTGCGTTTAGGGTTATAGACGATGAATCTGTTTTTAATTCCTGAAAGCAGTTTCTAGATTTAGTGATAGAAGAAGTCTCAGAGACCACCATTGTTCAGAGATGTGCTCTGTCACATTCAGTGCACCGTGAGAGAAATAGAGGAGGTAGACTCTTTCTTTTTTTTCTTTTTTTTTTTTTTTTTTGACAGGCAAAGTTAGATAATGAGAGAGAGACAGACAGAGACAAAGTTCTTCCCTCCGTTGGTTCACTCCCCAAATGACCGCTACAGCCGGCGCTGCACCAATCCGAAGCCAGGAGCCAGGTGCTTCCCCCTGGTCTCCCATGGGGTGCAGGGCCCATGCACTTGGGCCATCCTCCACTGCCCTCCCGGGCCACAGCAGAGAGCTGGACTGGAAGAGGAGCAACCGGGACAGAATCTGGTACTGCAACTGGGACTAGAACCTGGAGTACCAGCACCACAGGCGGAGGATTAGCCTAGTGAGCCACGGCGCTGGCTGAGGCAGACACTTTCTGCCTTTCAAACTCAATCTGAATATAAATATGTGAGTGACAGAATACACATGCAAGTGAAATATGAGAAGAAAAGATAGAGAACGAATACTTTTCAAATTAATAATTTCTGTGGGAATAGATACATAGTTGCGGGATGGCTAAAGTTAATGGAGTGGCCAGACTTGAGTGAAAGTGGTTAGGGAAGTTTTTTCAGAGTACTGTGCTTCTTTTTTGATTATTAAAAATAAAACATTGTGGGAAAATTTGGGAAATACAGAAAATTTAATGAAGAAAACAGTTTACCTAAAATGCTGCTATTTTGTCTTTATTTTTAAATTTTTTAAAAGATGTATTTGTTTATTTGAAAGACAATAGAGGCCGACATACAGACAGACATGGAGAGAGTTAGAAAGAGATATATGTATCTGCTTGTTCAAGCCCCAGATAGCTGCAACAGCTAGGGCTCGGGCCGAATCCAGGAGGCTTGAAGTCCATCTTTGTCTCCCACACGGGTAGAGTGCCCAAGGACCTAAGCCATCTTTACTGCTTTCCCAGCTGTATTAGCATACAGTTGGATCAGAAAGGGAGCAGCCAGGACTTGAACTATCTCTAAATATGATAGTCTATTTTATTTCTAAATAGGATAGTCTAAATAAGATATCTATTTTAAAACACATATAGTACAGATTTTATAGCTGTGTTTGTTATTTTAATTTGCTCTGATAGTACACACACAGTTATTGATTCAACACACTCCGGGTAGAGAAACCAAGTGTTTTGTGCCTTCAATAATATAAAAAATGATGAACTAGTCATTGGTAGAAACAGACATGTAAATAAAACAATGAAGAACCATTTCTGTAATAGAGGTGTAGTAATAAGTCCTATAGAAATACACATGTGGAAAATTGAGGAATTTGGAAGTAATATAGATTTGGGAAATCAGTTAAGCAGAAACTTAGAAGTACAAAAGTAATTGGGTTATTCAAGGAAAGTCAAGTGGTAGTTTAGCATGCTTAGGCAATAATAGGAAGGTTGTCTGGATCCAATGATAGAATGTTTTGGTGTTATTTAGATTTCAGTTTTTTAGGCAATGGGAAGCAAGCCATCAAAATAGATTAGATCTGGTAGCAAAGGATGGATGGAGGGAGTAAAAGCAGCAAGACCACTTCATCAGTCTTGGCATCAGTCTTGGTGATGATGACAGTGAAGAAAAAGTAGGGCGTTAAACTGTCACTAGAATGTGAGGGGGAGAAGTTAGATGTTGAGGTTTCTAGCCTGGGAGGATGCTGTTAATCAAAAGGAGTTCTAGAAGAGTACAGTATTGTTTTTTGTGCAGGGAAATAATGATTGGGGATTTGAGATATTAACATTGCATTGCTGGGATAATATCTATTTGGGAATGTTTAACAGACTCTTCACACTCAGGTCTGAAAGTATAAGCTTAAAAAGAAAACTAGGCAGATACACATCTGGGAAGGTAGATATTAGAAGATATTAGAAGAAGGGAAGAGTAGATATTATTTCCCAGAAAGAAACTATTATATGAGAACAGAACTTAAAATAAGAACCTTGGAAATATCTACATTTAACGAAGCCTTGAACAAAGAGGAACCTGAATCAGGGGAGGAAACAAATGTGTGGTCTCATTGGAACTAAGTAAAAGTACAATTTAAAGAATAGAATGGATGGCGGTGTTAGAGTCTGTAGGAAGGTTGAATAAAGAAGACCCAGGAAGGGGACTCTAACTGGCACTTAGGAGAACATTCACAAGTTCCTTAAAAAAAAAAAGCAGTGATTTGGAGTGAGGATTGCAGTACAATTTAGATATAATTGAAAAGTAAGATAATAGAACCAGTGAGTATAACATTCTTAGTATAAAATTGGCACTGAAAAGTAGAGATGAGTTGAGCTTAGTTGAGGGAAGATTTGTATAGAATTGAGAAAATTTGATCATGTTTAAGATCTGAGGGCAAAAAAAGATAAAGTGGGAATATTTGTTCAGCAAGAGCTAAAAAAAGAGACCAGAAAGATTGGGATGAAGGAGTCTGTGGTTGTTAGTAGTAAGCTTTTTTATTATTCTTTTTGAATACTGAGAGAAACAGGAAGAGGTAATTAGTGACGTAGAGAAATTGAGGAAATATCTATTGGCAATAACTTTCTTGTCAATGAAGGTTACATTTAGGGTAGAAATCTGGCAGTGAATCAAGCATGACCCACAGTTGCTTATGGAAAAATACATATGGCGTGAGTAGGAATATTTGTTTTTTCAGATTTCAGTATTAACTTTTATTTCTTTTCCTTGGGCAGGAACTGAAACATTTGATCTTGGAGGCAGCAGATGGCTTTCTGTTTATTGTCTCATGTGAAACAGGACGAGTGGTATATGTCTCTGATTCAGTTACTCCTGTTTTGAACCAGCCACAGTCTGAATGGTTTGGCAGCACACTTTATGATCAGGTGCACCCAGATGATGTGGATAAACTTCGTGAACAGCTTTCCACTTCAGAAAATGCCCTGACAGGTGAGAGTTATGTGGATGGGGAATGAGTGGGAAGTCCTTCTTTTCCTGAAGTGTAAAGGGATATTTTAGCTCTTTAAATTGGTTTCTTGACTGTGGCAAGGTTTCTAGAATTTTCCCCTTAATTAATATCAGTTCTTTTTATTCACATGCAGATTATCTAGTTTGTAGCTAGTCCTTAGAAAGTGTTTCATTAGTGATAATGTTAATTTGAAAGTTTATTATGTTAATATCATATAAAGGAAACCATAAAATCCAAACCTACGACAGGTTTTTTTTTTTTCTGTTATACTAAAAGAATCATTTGGATAGTAGTCTTGTTTTCTACCCTCTTGAGCTTGTCTTTATGCTAGATTCTGTGGTAACAAAATTTTATTTCAAATGGGAGTGCTTATTCGTCTGTATACAAGGTATTTGTTATTGCTCTGTTCCTCCTTCCTCCCACTTTAAAGCTTTTGTTCTTTTTGCCATCATTTGTCTAGGGGGAAAAAAGTCACATCTGGTTCTGAGCAACTCTAGGAAAAGTTTTTAAGTGGAAACAAATAAAAATTGATAATTAAAATGCAAGAAATTCCAATATGGTTCTATTGTTCGGAATTGTTCCTATTGCTTCTATTCTATTGTTTCTATTGCTGCCAAAGCGAGCATTCCAGGATGGTTATTAATGTTGGTCTTTAGTTTTCCCTTCTTTTATGTTTTTATGCATTTGGTTTGCTTTGCTTTTTGGTTTTAGTTTTCCATTTCCCTAAAAGCTTGCTGTTTGTTTCTGTTTAATAAAGAAGAGAAACAGTTTTGGTTTGAGACAGATGTGTGTTTCTGTAGCATATAAAATTACTTGTTTTTAAATTGATGACATTCAATGTGTGTGTGTGTGTCTGTACTCATTGTACTCATGTGTATAAATAATCAGGCACAAGAATATAGCTTTGCCTCTTGCTGCTTTCCACTACACATTCCACTCCTACCTTCCTCTGCATAAAGTTATTTTCAGTGCTGCCTTTGGACTTACAGTGAGACTCATTGATGAAAATTGAAGTATTTCATGCTTGGCTTATTCTGTCATAAGGAAGGAGATCAAGGGGGCGCGAATATGATGCTTATTTTTGCCTCTGGTATCACCCTCTTTCCTACTCAGAAGAATGCATTTCAAACTGGTGTTCACGTTCTTCTTCAGGGCGTATCCTGGATCTAAAGACTGGAACAGTGAAAAAGGAAGGTCAGCAGTCTTCCATGAGGATGTGTATGGGCTCAAGAAGATCCTTTATTTGCCGAATGAGGTGAGTGTCAGGCTGAGGATTATCGTTTGGCATAGAAATAATCAAGAACTGAGCGTTTTGTTTCTGTCAGTGGAGTTAAAGTTTTAAATCAAAGTTTCAGTTAGTTTTTTTTGTAAGATTTATTTATTTGTTTGAAAGACAGAGTTACATATTGAGAGGAAGACCCAGAGAGAGAAAGAGATATCTTCCATTCACTGGTTCACTCCCTAAGTGGCTGCAGTGGTTGGGGCTGGGCCAGGTTGAAGCCAGGAGGCGGAGCTCCGTCTGGGTCTCTTACATAGATAGTAGGGGCCCAAGGACCTGGGCCATCTTCCAATGCTTTCCCAGGCACATTAGCAGGGAGTTGGCCCAGAAGTGGGACAGCTTGAAGTTGAAGCAGTACTCATATGGGTTGCATCGCAGGTGGAGGGTTAACCCACCATGCCACAACACTGGCCCTCCTAGATTTTAAATTTAACTGTGAAGACCTAAGTGGGTTGTAACACGAATAAAATCTTTGTTAAGGGAGTCAACATTTACTGAACAATTACTGTGTGAAACACTGTGATACATGCTTTATTTCATCCCCAAACTGCCCTAGAGCATAAGGTCATGCTTACTATTTGCGATGAAAGAAAGAATCAGTGAGCGCGCGTGCTCATAGCTATCCTCCACCTTGCGGCGCGCACACTGGTTCTAGTCCGGTGGGGCGGCCGATCTGTTCCCGGTTGCTCCTCCTTCAGGCAGCTCTCTGCTATGGCCAGGGAGTGCAGTGGAGGATGGGCCCAGGTGCTTGGGCCTGCACCCCATGGGAGACCAGGAAAAGCACCTGGCTCCTGGCTCCTGCCATCGGATCAGCGCGGTGCGCCGGCTGCAACGGCGGCCATTGGAGGGTGAACCAACGGCAAAAGGAAGACCTTTCTCTCTCTGTCTCTCTCTCTCACTGTCCACTCTGCCTGTCAAAAAAAAAAAAAAAAAAAAAAAAAAAAAAAGATGCAGAGAAATTAACTTCTCAAGGTTACAACAGATAGTATCTCATAAAGGGATTTTATTTTAATCCATAGTAGTCTGGCTCCAGAACCTATATTTTGTTCCCATTGCATCACAAGGCACATCCATATACTGAGACCATTTCTGCATTATTTGGTTTTGAAATTTTTTTGTGTCTTTCAGATAGTATTTAGAGTTTATAAATATACGTTATGCATTTTAGGATTTTGTAGAAAGAATGATAGTTCTTTCTATATAGCTAGCTGAAACATCTCTTCAAGTTACAAAATAAGTTCAGGTTCTACAATGGAACTTGTCATTGAACATATACATTGTTTATATATATGTAAACATGTACATAAATACTGGGAGTATACCTATTAGAAATGATCAGATTAAGGAAGGTTTTCCGGGAAAGGTGTAACATTGAGTATTATGTGGCTTAATGGTTTCTTTTTTTATTTTTAAGATTTATTTATTTATATTTATTTATCTGAGAGGTAAAGTTACAGTGAGAGGGAGAGACAGAGACAAAGGTCTTCCTTCTGTTGGTTCATTCCCCAAATGGCCACAACAACTGGAGCTACACTGATGCAAAGCCAGGAGCCAGATGCTTCTTCCTGGTCTCCTATGCGGGTACAGGGGCCCAAGCACTTGGGCCATCTTTTACTGTTTTCCCAGGCCACAGCAGAGAGCTGGACTGGAAGAGGAGCAGCCGGGACTCGAACCGGTGCTCATATGGGATGCTGGCGCTACAGGAGGAGTATTAACCTACTGCGCCATGGCACCTGCCCCTAAAGATTTATTTATTTATTTGAAAGAGTTACATAATGAGAGGAGAGGCAGAGAGAGAGAGGTCTTCCATCTGCTAGTTCACTCCCCAGTTGGCCACAACAGCAGGAGCTGTGCTGATCTGAAGCCAGGAGCCAGGAGCTTCTTCCAGGTCTCCCTCACAGGTACAGGGGCCCAGAGTTGGGCCATCTTCTATTGCTTTCCCAAGCCATAGCAGAGAGCTGGATCAGAAGTATAGCAGCCAGGACTCAAAACTCATATAGAATGTCAGCAATGCAGGCGGCGGCTTAACCCACTACGGCACAGCACCGACCCCAAGGCTTAATGGTTTGCAATAGCCTCTGGACTCAGTCTGCTGGAGTTAGTTTTAGTCCATAGTATTCTGTGGTTTTTAATTCTTAGCTTCATATATCTTCTGAAATCTTGGTCAGATTACAAGCCTACTTTGTGCTTTGATTTTATCATCTAATGTTGGAAGTAATACTGATACTAAACTCACAAAGTTATGAGGATTAGATGAATTAATATATGTGAAGATATTTAGAACAGAGCATGGCATATATTAAACAGTAGAAGTTTTATCTACTGTTGTTATTTTAAAGAAATGAAAGAGGGGGTGGGTGCTGTGGCGTAGCAAGTAAAGCCGCTGCCTGCAGTCCTGGCATCCCATATGGGCGCTGGTTTGAGTCCCAGCTGCTCCACTTCCAAACCAGCTCCCTGCTTGTGGCCTGGGAAAGGGTTGGAAGATGGCCCAAGCCCGTGGGGCCCTGTACCCATGTGGGAGACCTGGAAGAAGCTCCTGGCTCCTGGCTTCGGATAGGCGCAGCTCCAGCCTTTGCAGCCAGTTGGGGAGTGAACCAGTGGATGGAAGACCGACCTCTCTGCCTTTTTTTCTCTCTCTGTGTGGTTCTGACTTTCAAATAAACAAATAAAACTTTAAAAGAAAAAAAAAAAGAAATGAAAGAGAGAAAGTTGAGTTGAAGGGACCATTCCAACATATGGCCATGGCCAATGCAAAGACATAGGCAAGAGAAGATAAATAGCCTGAATTAACAAGCCACTGCCCTTCATTTGTAAGAAAGTTTTATTGGAACTAGCCATGCCCATTTGCCTATATATTGTCTTTGCTGATTTTATGCTATACTGCCAGAATTGCCTAGTTACAATAGACTAGACTGTATGATCTACAAAGCTGAAAATATTTACACTCTAGTCCTTTACAAAGTTTGCCAACTCCTGATATAGAGAATCTTTGCATTTGGAGAGCATATAGAATATTTTTTACTTCAAATTTTAGAACAGTTATATTTTTGAAGTACCAAATGTGACTTCCATTATCCCTCCTTGGTGTTAGGAGCATTGTTACCAATTTTCTGTGTCAAGATGCATTTAAAGCCTGTTACCGTACTTCACTAAAGAAGGTTCTTTCAGGAGACCAGGAGGAAGCACCTGGCTCCTGGCTTCGGATCGGCACAGCGTGCCAGCCTTAGCGGCCATTGGGGTGAACCAACGGAAGGAAGACCTTTCTCTCTTCTCTCTCACTGTCTAACTCTGCCTGTCAAAAAAAAAAAAAAAAAAAAAAAAGGTTCTTTCATTGTGCAAGCTGACTGCTTTGCATCTCTCTGCTCATTGAAACAGGTGTGGCAATAGCTCCGTGGACCCAGTCTCCATGAATAGACTGAGCTTTGTGAGGAACAGATGCAGGTGAAGTCCTAAGCAGTGAAAACCAAAGGGGTAACCAAAGACCCAACAGAGCATAACTTTCTCACCTGACTTACTGTAATACTTCCTTTCGTAGTCCTCACCCTCTTCCCTCGCCTCCTAGGTACTTTTTTCTGGCAGTATTTTTCTGAACTTCTAAAGTTTTTCTTGTTTTCCTGTTAAAGGGAGTTTACTTACTGTTTTGCCTGCTTTTCCTTGTGCTGTAGTTCTTTTCAGTTGTTTTCCTTTGGTAATGGTTGAAATTATGGTGGTTACTTTCGGGTGGGAGAGGTCCCAGCACTGATTGTCCTACTTTCAAAAACCAAGACTCTGAAGTTGAAGTTCCCAAGCCAGCATTGTCCTTTAAGAAATTTCTAGGTATGATTTTTCTTCTGACTGATACCACTCTTCTAGGAATGGACTTGGCTCTGTGAAAGATGGAGAACCTCACTTCGTGGTGGTGCACTGCACAGGCTATATCAAGGCCTGGCCCCCAGCAGGTAGGAAAGTTGGATGGTGATTCTTTTCGGTGCGTTTGGTTCCTCGCCAAGTCTAAGAAAGTTATATTTATTATGTGTTTGGTGTATGAAATGTACTTGGATGGAACCTGAAAGAAACAGCAGACCCCTTCACATACACTATTGAGCTTGTATTCCACTTGGGGAGATGATATACTCAGATTTGAAAATGTCTCACTAATGGCTGTGTCACAGCATAGTTTTTAAATGTACAAAATCATAATTATATATACTGAATACCTATGCTTTTAAGCAGTGGTTACTAAAAATCATTGGGATTATTCACTTGAGAAGTCTTTCTAAATTAGTTACAAAACTTTGAGGGAAATGGTGAAAATGGTTTGATTGTAGTAATTAGAAGGAGATGCTCTCTGCAAGGGCCTTAAATGAAGTTTTAAGCTGATTAGCTTTATTAGAACTTGAGGTCACAGAGATTATAAGAAAGGTGTTTTTTGCTGGGATCAGTTTGTTTTTTTTTGTTTGTTTTTTTGTTTTTTGTTTTTGTTTTTTGTTTTTTGTTTTTTTTTGACAGGCAGAGTGGATAGTGAGAGAGAGACAGAGAGAAAGGTCTTCCTTTTGCCGTTGGTTCACCCTCCAATGGCCGCCACAGCTGGCGCGCTGCGGCCGGCGCACCACGCTGATCTGAAGGCAGGAGCCAGGTGCTTCTCCTGGTCTCCCGTGGGGTAGAGGGCCCAAGCACTTGGGCCATCCTCCACTGCCTTCCCGGGCCACAGCAGAGAGCTGGCCTGGAAGAGGGGCAACCGGGAAAGAATCTGGTGCCCCGACCTGGACTAGAACCCAGTGTGCCGGCGCCGCTAGGTAGAGGATTAGCCTATTGAGCCGCGGCGCTGGCTGGGATCAGTTTTTTTTTAAAAAAGATTTATTTATATATTTGAAAGGCAAAGTTACAGAGAGGCAGAGGCAGGGAGAGGGAGAGGGAGGGAGGGAGGGAGGAAGGGAGAGAGAGAGAGATGTCTTCCATCCACTGGTTCACTCCCCAGATGGCTGCATCAGCTGGAGCTGTGCTGATCTGAAGGCAGGAGCCAGGAGCCTCTTCCAGGTCTCCCACACAGGTGCAGGGGCTCAAGGACTTGGGCCATCTTCTACTACTTTCCCAGGCAATAGCAGAGAGCTAGATCGGAAGTGGAGCAACTGGAACTCGAACTGGTGCCCTTGTGGGATGCCGGTACTGCAGTCGGCGGCTTTACCCACTATGCCATGGCGCCAGCCTTGGTGGGGGAATCAGCTTTTTAATTGACTTTTTTTTTTTTTTTTTTTTTTTTTTTTTGGACAGGCAGAGTGGACAGTGAGAGAGAGAGACAGAGAGAAAGGTCTTCCTTTGCCGTTGGTTCACCCTCCAATGGCCGCCACGGCTGGCGCGCTGTGGCCGGCTCACCGCGCTGATCCGATGGCAGGAGCCAGGTACTTACCCTGGTCTCCCATGGGGTGCAGGGCCCAAGCACTTGGGCCATCCTCCACTGCACTCCCTGGCCACAGCAGAGAGCTGGCCTGGAAGAGGGGCAACCGGGACAGAACCGGCACCCCGACCGGGACTAGAACCCGGTGTGCTGGTGCCGCAAGGCGGAGGATTAGCCTAGTGAGCAGCGGCGCCGGCTTAATTGACTTTTAAGAGTTTGCAAGCCTTAGAAACTTTTTACTTCCCTGCTAGTTGGGTGTCACTGTGAATTAAGGATTTGGGTAAGACAGAAACTAAGGAAAAAAAAAAAAAAAACAGGCAGCAAGGTTTTATGTTTAGAAAAGACATTCAACTTTGGATTTGGAAAAACCTGGGTTTGATTCCTGGCATTGCTATTATTATTGCTATTTATTAGTGATATAACCTAGGATAAGTTGCTTGACTTTTATAAACTTCTCATCTGTACTTTGGAGAGAATACATTCCATAGAGGGTTATTATGAGGATTAGATTTAGTGTAAGGAAAGCATCCAGCCCAGTACCTCATATATGGTAGCCATCAATAAATACTAATACAAAAAAATACCAATAAGTGGAAGTTAATATAATTAAGGAAAATATTTTAAGGAATGAGGTAATGACATCTGAACTTTGTGATCTTTGTATTGCATAAAACATAGTTTAAGGTACATAAGATCTTTACTTCTTTTGTGTAGCTATCAACAGAAGTACTATTTTTGTGAATAAAAATAAAATAGCTATGCAAAGAATAAGGAAGAATTACATTCTTCTTCACTTTCCCATGTAAAATATTATTTTTCTCTTTTCCAAGGGACACAAGTAACTCTTAGTGTTTGGCATAAATTCATTTTTGGTTGTTTGCTTACTTCAGATCACAGGTTGGGCAAGACATCTGTTCTCTGGTCACAGAGGGGCTGCTTCACATGTGTTTGATTTAGCTAGCATAGTGTTTGGAATACCTCGAGTGAGCCTTATAGTCTTTAATTTATTATAGTTAATATGGCTGAAATATATGAATTTATGTATATATTTTATATCATGAGTAGCACATATAGTAAATTTTATGTAATTGTACCTTTATTTTTAACATTCTCATTTATCATTCTCTCATGCAAAACATTTGAGTCTGAGAGTTCAATTAAACTTTTTAACCTCACCTTCCTGAAGGTGTTTCCCTCCCGGATGATGACCCAGAGGCTGGCCAGGGAAGCAAGTTTTGTCTAGTGGCCATTGGTAGATTGCAGGCAAGTGTGAATTTTCTACATTTACATCCCTTTTAAGTTAGAAAAAATCTTCAGGACTTGTTCAGGTTAATTTTCTTTCATTCTCTGAATACAAGTAAAGAATTCTGTAAGACTCCAAAAATTTGAAGGAATATGACATTCATAGTAAATGTTGGTAATCTTGAGTTTAGCATAAGTTGGAATATTGCGGGGGATGAGGGGGAGATCTTTTCCCCTTATCTTTCTTGTGTTTAGCTTTATAATATTGAATTTTCTATTTCTGATGAATTTCCTTTGTCTCTATGCGAAAGAAGAAATATCCTTTTCATTATATCATTATATGACTGACAATAGAGAGGTGGAATTAGCTTGATTCTTCTCACAAGTATAGATAAGTTTCTTGGTTAGTTGGACCTTAATGATTTTTTGATCTGGGTAGTGAGCACAGCCTAAGCAGGTGAAAGCAGATTTTTAAAAAAATTATTTATTTTGAAAGACGGAGTGTCAGGGAGTAACAGAGAGATAAGTCCTTTATCCACTGATTCTTTCCTCAAATGGCCACAACAGCTGAGGCTGAGCCAGGTGAAAGCCAAGGAGCCTGGAACTCCATCTGGATTTCCTATGTGAGTAGTAGGAACCCAAACACCTGAGCCATCATCTGCTGTATCCCAGGCACTCTCCAGTATGTGATGTGGGCATCCCAAGTGGCAGCAACGTGTTGTTGTTTTAATATTACTTACTTATTTGAGAGACAGATACTCCCAAAGGATGCTTCACTCCCCAGATGTCCATAATGATCCATATCTGGGGCTGAAGCAAGGATCCAGGAACTTAGTCCGTGTCTCCCATATGAATGGCAGGAATCCAGTCACTTGAGCCATCAATCCAGGGTCTGTATTAGCGAGAAACTAGAGTTAGGAGAACTGGATAGTGAACCCAGGAACCCTGATAGGGAACATGGGCATCTTAACTGCTAGGCCAAATATGCCTGCCCTAGCAGTAGGTGAGTTTTGAGTTGAATTCATTTTTTTCCCCTTACTTTTTTAATTTGGTGAAGCATATGGGAGTCATGCCAGCTCTCATGACCTCTCTGAATGTGATGTCAATTTTCCTTTGGATGATACATGGAAGTTGGGAAGTTCTTAAAACTGGCATTTTCTTTGTCTATGCACTGATGATGAGTAGATGGGGGAATACATCTATAAAGAATGGTATCATTTTCATGGAATCAACTCACATGTCCATAAATTGGCAACTGGATGAAGAAATTATGGTGTATATACGTGATAGAATACTATTCTATCATTTTCCATCCTGTCTTTTGCAACAAAATGGATGCAAATGGAGACCATTATGCTTAGTGAAATAAGCCAGTCCCCAAAAGACAGATACCATATGTTTTCCCTGATTTGTGGTATTAATACAAAGAGTACAAAAAAAGTAATGTGTATGAGCGAAATTGACATTTTGAGATTGGATTAGTGTTTATAGCCCTTGTCTGTACTCTAGAGGAATAGTGGTTTTTCTACTTAGTACTTGTTGAATTATTTTTTTTTTTAAGATTTATTTACTTATTTGAGAGTCAGAGTTATAGAGAGAGGGATAGACAGACAAAGATCTTCATCTGCTGGTTCACTCCCCAAATGGCTGCAATGGCCAGAGCTGAGCCAGTCTGAAGACAGGAGCAAGAAGCTTCTTCCATGTCACCTGTGTGGGTACTCGGGCCCAAGCACTTAGACTAACTTCCGCTGCTTTCCCAGGCCATAGCAGAGAGCTGGATTAGAAGAGGAGCAACTGGGACACAAACTGGCACCCATATGGGATGGCAGTGTAGCAGGCAGAGGCTTAACCTACTATGCCACAGTGCTAGTCACTGTTGAATTCTTTATTTAATGGAGGGTTAAGCTTATGATTATAAAGAAAACTGAAGGTGTGTCACTGTGGAAATTCAAAGAACAATGGGAAGGAGGGAGTAGAGAGGGTGAGAATGAGTGAGGGAGGGCAGAGTGGGAAGTATCATTATGCTAATAAAACTATATATGTGAAATTTCCATATATATGTATATATATGTACATATATATTTGTGTATATGTGTATATATATATATATATAAGCATTAAAGTATTTTCATAGAACAACAAGAAAAAAGAATGTTGTCATTTTACCTCATTTTATATCTTCACTCTCAGGTAACTAGTTCTCCCAACTGTACAGACATGAGTAATGTTTGTCAACCAACAGAATTCATCTCCCGACACAACATTGAGGGGATATTCACTTTTGTGGATCACCGCTGTGTGGCTACTGTTGGCTATCAGCCACAGGTGAGGAGCTGGAGCTATTAATTATATTACTAATACTTAGGCCTCTGTTTTCCCTTGCTGTGTTGAGATTACAAAATCATGTAATACCAGAGATAGCAAAAACATAGCAGCCCCAGTTCAGAGAAAATGATACTATTCGGTCAATACCTAAATTTATTTTTAGCTTCCTGCCAAGGCTGATATCCCATCTACAGAAATAATGTTTGTGAAGTCAGGTGGGAGCAGTAGGTACAGATGTGTATTTGTTTTCTGTTACTGATATGAATACAGATAATGATACATTTTAATTAGTTATACTTGTATGGTCACTTTTTGATAATTCATGTACATACCCAAGTAAATAGTAACACATAAAATATGCAAGATTAGCACCTATCATAATTTACTCATTCAGGTGACAAATTAACTATCCTTGAATTGACTTGTTATATAGATTTTCAAAACTATCAAGACCAAGGGAACGTTTGGCAGTGACTTTGTAAAGAGGTCAGTAAGAAAGAGATTTTGAAAACAAATAACAGAATTGAATTGATACTGTCTGATTCAACATTTCCTATTAAACAGTTATTACCAGGACAGTGTTGTGGTAGTATAAACACAGATACATAAATCAATAAATCAGAATAGATTCTGTTCTCATATTTATGGGCAACTGATTTTCATCAAAGTTGCCAACATGCTTAAATGGGGAAAAAGTCTTTCTAACAAGTAGTGGTAAAACAATTAGATATCTAGATGCAAAAAAGAAAAGGACTTAGACCTTATCTCACACCATACACAAAATCAATTCAAAGGCTTAAATATGTAGGAGCTAAAATTAAAATAAACTTCAAAGAGAGAATCTTTGTGATCTTGAGATAGGCAGAGGTTTCTTATATGATGCTAACATCATGGTTCACAAAAGAGGAAAACTGATAAATTGGATTTTATCAGTTAACATTTGTCCTCTAAAAAGGATATTATTAAGAAAATGAAAAGACCAGATGCAAACTTGGAGAAACTATTTACAAATCATACCTATAAGAAAGAGTTTTTATCTAGAATATGTAACTCTTATAACTAATTAAAACAAATAGCCATTAAAAAAGGTCACAGGATTTGACATTTCACTACAGAAGAAATAGGAATGGTGTATAAAGAGATGTTCAATATCATGAGGCATCAGGAAAGTGAAGATTAAAATCACAACGAAATGTCACTGTGTAATACAGTCACTGTAATCAGGAAGTTTTAACAAGAATAGAATCCTCCTAAATCATTGACAGACATGTAAAGTGGTACAGCTACTATACAAAATATTTTGGCAGTTTCATGAAAGTTAAAATTGTACTCACAGCCAAGCAGTTCCACTCCTGGGTATCTACCCATACCTAAGAGAAGTGAAAACCTGTTCACACAAAAATCTGTACACAAATATTCAAAGCTCTATTACTTGTAATAGCCAAAAAGTAGAAACAATCTACATATCTATTAACATTTTATGAATGAATGTAGGCTGTGTAAAGTTCATTTTAAAGTGCTGCTGAGCAAAGCAGTAGAGAAAACTATTGATGCATGAACTTCAAAAACATGCTAAATTAAAGAAGTAAGACCCAAAAGGTAGCACAGTATATATAAAATTTCTAGGAAAGACAAAACTAAAGAGGCAAAAAGCAGATCAGTGGCAGCTTAGAGTAAGGATTGACTTCATATGAGCACAACGGAACTTTCTGAGGCAATGAACATTTTTTTTGGTTAAGATTTATTATTTATTTGAAAGTCAGAATTACAGAGAGGTTGGGGAAAGACAGAGATCTTCCATCTGCTGGTCCACTCCCCAGATGGTCAAAACAGCCAGAGCTGGGTGAGTCCAAAGCCAGGAGCCAGGAGCTTCCTCCGAGTGGCAGGAGCCCAGGTACTTGGACCATCTTCTTTTGCTTTTCCAGGCACATCAGCAGGGAAGCTGGATTGGAAGTGGAGCAGCCAGGACTTGAACTGGTGCCCATATAGGATGCTGGCGTCGCAAGCGGCAGCTTTACCACTGCGCTACGATGCCAGCCCTGAGAACATGTTTTAAAACTAAATTTTGGTAATGGTCACACTGTAAATTTACTGGAAGTCATGAAATTGTGTACTTATGGTAAATGAACTGTAAATGTAAATTATACCTAAAAAATTGGAGCTGGCACTTTGACGTAGTGGGCTAAACCTCTACCTGTGGCACTGGCATCCCATATGGGTGATAATTGTAGTCCCAGCTGCTCCTCTTCCAATCCAGCTTTCTGCTATGGCCTGGGAAGGCAATAAAAGATGGCCCAAGTGCTTGGGCCCCTGCACCCATGAGGGAGACCTGAACGAAGCTCCTGGCTCCTGGCTTTGGATTGGCCCAGCTCTGGCTGTTGTGGCCATTTGGGGAGTGAAACAGCAGATTAAAGACCTTTCTCTCTGTTTCTCCCTCTCTCTGTAACTCTACCTTTCAAGTAAATAAATAAAATCTTTAAAAAAAATTATACCTAAAATTGGTTATATGCAATTAAAATAAATGAATAATATTCTGATAAGGGAATATATCCTGGAAGCTAGTTTAGGAGATTCCATCTTTTCTTTTTCTTTCTTTCTTTTTTTTTTTTTTTTTCTATAAGATTTTATTTATTTGAGAGGTAGGGTTACAGACAGAGAGAGGAGAGACAGAAAGTTCTTCCATCCACTGGTTTACTCCCCAAATGGCCACAATAGCAGGAGCTGGGCCTGGCTGAAGCCAGGAGCCAGAACCTTCTTCCAGACCTCCCACGAAGGTGGAGGGGCCCAAGCACTTGAACCATTTTCCTCTGGTTTCCCAGGCCATAAGCAGAGAGCCAGATCAGAAGAGGAGCAGCTGAGATACAAACTGACGCCCAAATGGGATGCTGGTGTCACAAGTGGAGGCTTAGCCTGCTATGCCACAGCATCAGCCTGTTATTTCTCTTCACAATTAACTATAATCTTAGGATAAAAACAGAAGTAGTAAAACTCAAGTCTGCAGCTAATGGTCCAAGAAAATTAGATGATCATACAAATATAAACCTTACTCTTATTTTTTCCTTTTTAGGAACTCCTAGGAAAGAATATTGTAGAATTTTGTCACCCTGAAGATCAGCAGCTTCTAAGAGACAGCTTCCAGCAGGTAACTTTTGTTCCTGGTTTGGACTAAAATAAATATTTTTATTTATGACATTCATGCTACAACTGTTTACTGACCTCTGATTAATTGACCACTGTGGCAGGCACTATACTTTTATGCTTTTAATACTTGACCTGTAAAAACTAGATCAGTAGTTTGAGACTATGGATAACATCCATGGTATTTCTGTTTGGCTCTGCCTACTTACTGTCTTGTGCTTAACCAACTGTACCATAGGAGCTATCTTTAAAATATTCAAGCTATTGTTTTCTTTGTTGAGCTGTAGATTATTGTAGAGAAACTCACTTCACAGAGTTCTTTGGTAGATAGTTGAGAGTGAATTGTATGCTAACTTACTTGTAATTTTCAGGCCCTTGCCCTGAAAATATATGGTGACTTTTTAAGTTTTTTTTTTTCCAAAGTCATCTTTATTTCAGTTCACAATAAATAAATATAATTTCTTTAGAGCTGTAAGCATTTTACATCAGAAATACATTGGTTCTCTAAAAAACTCCAAAACCTCATGAATCCAGAAAATCTTTAAAATGTGCTGTTTTTTAAAGAAATTCTTTACCAACTCTTGCTAAATAAAGGAGCTGATGCCCAAAAGTCAAGTGTGGCTTCTGTTCTCTCCCCGAACAAGTTGTTTGGAATCCTAAGAGAATTCTGCAAGAACAAAATAATTTATCAATGCAATGAGACAAATAGGAGGAAGTCTTCCTCAGACTGAATGTTCCAGGCAGCTGTTTCCTGCATGGTTTGTCTGCCCAGTCTTTATCCACAGGACTCTGAGAAGCTGTAGGAATATGCAAGTGCAGACTCAAGGCCCAGCTTCCTCTCCAGCGGCTTGGGAAGGGACTGTACATCATCGGACAGGGCCCTGTGCTCCCCTATGCCTCATGGGGTGTCCACGTTGGATTTTTTTTTTTAAGTTTCTAAGGATTTTATTCAGTGGGTGAAATGCACAAGAGAATGAGGGTTTTATTTAGGGGAGAAAGAGAAGTCTAGAGGCTAAGTCGGGTCCATACCAAGCAGAGAGCAGTCACGTACAGCAAGCATGCAGGCAGGAAGGCAGAGAGCGGGCAGCCTGAAGGCACGGGGCAACAAGCAATATTTGGTGACTTTAAAAGACTTAGCTTTAGATAGCAGCTCTTACTTTATATAGGACAAGGTAAATAGTTTCTTTAAGTCTCAGTAGTATCCTTGCAGATACACAGTGTATATAATAATAGTACTTACATTCAGAGGATTGTTGGGAAGATTAAATAGATAATGCATATAAAGCACATAGTCCAGTTCTTGGTACATGATAATTAGAAAATAAATATTAGCTGTTAATCCTTTTTTTATTGCAAGGGTGTATCAAAAGATTATATTCAATTCTTGAGACTAGAAGCTCAAATCATCTAAAATTACTTACTTTTACAAAACAAAAGAAAACAAGACTAAAGCCAGCTTAGGTAAGCCTCTATGGATACTGTGAAAACAGAAATTCTCATGTTTGCAGGGAAAGCTGAATCCACTGTCATTAAAGTTAAATTTTGGGTATGGATTTGTAAAGTATCTTTAGTAGGCTTTTAGGAGCAGTAGGGAAATAATCTTTTCCCTCCTCCAAATGATTGTTGTTGTTGTTTGATTTTGACTGGAATGGTCAGAAAGTTTTGGATTCCTAGAAAAAAGATTTAGTGACTTATTTTTTACTCTTTTGTGTTGTTTTAACATTGAAAAAAGATTGGTGTTTCAAGGACAATGACATAAGCGTTTTACAGTTGTAGAAAGTTTATTTAATTTTCTAAGGAAAGTTTTCTTTGAGTTCGACTGATGGTATGAAAACCTTTTCAGGTGGTGAAGTTAAAAGGCCAGGTGCTGTCTGTCATGTTCCGGTTCCGGTCTAAGAACCGAGAGTGGCTCTGGACGCGAACCAGCTCCTTTACTTTCCAGAACCCTTACTCAGATGAAATTGAGTACATCATCTGCACCAACACCAATGTGAAGTATGTACCTTGCAGTCCTTTTCCAGTGTTGGGATTTTTTCATGGGCCAAGTCTGCTTCTTTTCTAACCAAGCTGTCTTCTTTTCTGCTTTTCCATTGGGAAACATTTAGAGTTGGAAGTTTCTCATTATTCAGATTCTCACAGGATTTGGGCTAGTTGAACGAGGTAGAAAGAGATTTTAACAAACAATGCCCTGCTACCCATGTGGAGACCCAGATTGATTTCTGGGCTCCCAGACTGGTCCTGTCCAGGCTGTTCACTTGGGGAGTGAACCAGCAGATAGGAGATCTTTCTCTTTCTGCCTTTGAAAAAAAAAAATAAAAGCCAGTTAGATCTTTAATTTTTTTTTTAATAAAAAGTGCTGCTGTGAGTGTTCCTGTGCTAGTTTTTACATGAATGCACATTTTCATTGTCTTCTGTTCTCTTTACCCAGGAGTGGAATTTCTGAGTCAAATGATAACCCTATTTTACTCTTTTTTGTTTGTTTGTTTTTTAGATTTATTTATTAGTCCAATGCTATGGCATAGTAGGCTAAGCCTCTGCCTGTGGCACTGGCATCCCATATGGGCACTGGTTCGTGTCCTGGCTGCTCCTTTTCCAATCCAGCTCTCTGCTGTGGCCTGGGAAAGCAGTAGAAGATGGCCCAAGTGCTTGGGCCCCTGCACCCACGTGGGAGACCCTGAAGAAGCTTCTGGCTCTTGGCTTCGGATCAGCCCAGCTCCTGCTATTGCAGCCATTTGGGGAGTGAACCAACAGATAGATCTTTCTCTCTGTCTCTCCCTCTCTCTGTAAGTTACAGACAGAGAAGGTCTTCCATCCGTTGGTTCACTCCCTAGATGGCTGCAACAGCCAGAGCTGGGCCAATCTGAAGCCAGTAGGCAGGAGCTTCTACCAGGTCTCCCACATAGGTATAGGGGCTTATGCACTTGGGCCATCTTCTGCTACATTCCTAAATCATTATCAGAGAGCTGGATTGGAAGTGGGAAAAAAAAGCAGCCGGGATTTGAACTGGCGCCCATATGGGATGCCAGCACTACAGGCAGAGGCTTAACCTCCTATACCACAGTGCTGGCCCTCTCTATTTTACTCTTTGAAGAACTGACAAGTGGTTCTTTAAAGCTGTCTCTTCAGCACTGTAGGAGGCTGTGGTTTTTCTGCATCCTGTAAACACTTATTATTGTCTCTCTTTTTTTACTGTAGCCATCCTAGTGGGTATCAGTTGTCAGATTACTTCCTTACCATTTCATCTACTGTAAAATTGGCATTGAGTGTAGCTCTTGAATATTGGAATACAGATAATTAGCATGTGTGAATAAGACTTGATGACAGTGGTTAGTCAGTGAAATCCAAGTTTTAAAGCTTATAAAATTTAATTAACAGTAAAATTCATGAATTGAGTTAGTAATTTTTATTAATTTAGGCCTCAAGCTTATAGTCATGGTCATGGTAGATTTTGTTCTTGTCTCTTTTTGTATTTTTATGTTACACAACAACCATCATTTTGTTTCCATTATGTTTAAATTTTGAAGTTTTTAAGTTCTTTTAAGGATTCAAGCTTCTGGAAATAATGGCTCTGCCTACTTTTACACATAATCTCCCCAACCATGATTAATTTTAATTGTCTTTTAATAATTTTTGAAAATATTTTCTTTATCTAAAATTTAGAAAGTATTCAAAAGTATAGGGGGAAAGATAAAATTCTCGTACACCAGATAGTCTGTGTTAATGTTTTAGTGCAGGGGCCGGCGCTGGTTAATCCTCTGCCTGCGGTGCCAGCATCCCATATGGGCGCTGGTTCTAGTCCTTTCTGCTCCTCTTCTAATCCAGATCTCTGCTGTGGCCTGGGAAAGCAGTAGCAGATGGCCCAAGTGCTTGGGCCCCTGCACCCACATGAGAGACCAGGGAGAAGCACCTGTCTCCTGGCTTTGGATCGGCATAGCTCCAGCTGTTGGGACCATTTAGGGAGTGAACCAGTAGAAGGAAGACCTTTCTCTCTGTCTCTCCCTCTCACTGTCTATAACTCTACCTCTCAAATAAATAAATAAAATCTTTATTAAAATGTTTTAGTGCATATATTTTCAATTTTTTGCTTGTGCTATTTAAAAACACTAAGAATATATACACATCCACAACTAACAGGTATTGATTATCTAAGAGTTAGAACCCAAAGAAATGAACCCTCGTGCCTGTGGACATAGTGTCTTATACCACATTGTCCATAATGTGAATTATTTGCTGAAACTGAAGTCCTAATTTACCTGTAGAATTAAACCTTAAAGTTGATTTATTAGTGATTGCCCTACCTACAGATGAATCAGCAGAGCTTTTTGTTCAAATTTTTTTTTCTTTTTATATTTGTCCTCTTTATTTTGTTTTCCCAGAAACTCAAGTCAGGAACCACGGCCTACGCTGTCTAACCCAATCCAGAGGCCACAGCTAGGTCCTACAGCTAACTTACCCCTGGAGGTGGGCTCAGGGCAGCTGGCCCCCAGGTAAGAAGAAGTGGAAGAATTATCTCTTGAGCCATTACTAGCCTAGAGAATAGCCAGCTGCAATCCTCCCCCCCTTTTTTTTTTTGTTAGATTTATGTTTTTAAGGCCTGTTCCCCAGATTGTTCTTTAAAATCTTTTTTCCCTCATTTCTCTCCTCTCTCACACTGGTCTTTAACAAATAGGCAGCAGCAGCAAACAGAACTGGACATGGTTCCAGGAAGAGATGGACTGACCAACTATAATCATTCCCAGGTGAGTATCTGTTTTCTTCCCTGAAGAGTACAGTAAGCTTAAGAATTTCCTCCAGTGCCAGTTAGAATGTGTGTGCATTTTGTATGAATTTGAGGGTATTGGATTGCCATATTAAACCTTTAATGATCATTTTTATCATTGTGTTCCACAGATTTCTGTTCAGCCTGTTGCAACTACAGGGCCAGAACATGGCAAGCCCCTTGAGAAGTCAGATAGTCTATTTGCCCAAGATAGAGATCCAAGATTTTCAGAAATGTATTCCAACATCAATGCAGGTATTTTCTTCCTCATTCTCCTCTTAAAATCTCATTTAGATCACTTACTGATGGGCCTGCTGCTGCCCAGTCAGTAACCTTCCAACATATTCCACTCAATCATAACACCTCATGAGTGAGTAGGAACTTGGTGAACTCATACACTACAGCCCCTTGACCGGCCCTCCCGCAACTCCTTTTGGTCCACAGATCAGAGTAAAGGCATCTCCTCCAGCACTGTCCCTGCCACCCAACAGCTATTCTCCCAGGGCAACACATTCCCTCCTAACCCCCGGCCGGCAGAGAATTTCAGGTGAGCCCCATGTACGTGTGCTGCTTGACAGGGCACAGAGGTATTCAGTTGCTGAATCCAAGTTTTATTCTCCCCTTGCTTTCTCTGGTCTTTTCAGACAAAGTGGTGGAGCTTTTAGGACCTCCTGTTTCTTTGCACCTCTCCTATTTCCATGTTCTAGTTCCATCTCTGTGTGTCCTGTTCAGTGTATGTTCGCAGTCTTTCTTGTCTTTTCCAAAATCTGTTATCGATTTTCCCTTAACACCAAGGAAGTCAAGGGGATCCAGGGGTAGCACTAGATTGTCCTTTGTTCCAAGCTCCTGTGGTAAATCTATTTTAATAAGTTACTTCACTATTTGTTCACTTCTAGGAATAGTGGCCTGGCCCCTCCTGTAACTATCGTCCAGGCATCGGCTTCTGCAGGGCAGATGTTGGCCCAGATTTCCCGTCACTCCAACCCCACCCAGGGAACAGCCCCAACTTGGACCCCTAGCACCCGCCCAGGCTTCTCTGCCCAGGTACAGACTCTCACCTGTCTATCCCATGTGTGTTGTTTTGTTCGGTTCCTTGGGCTTTTTCCACATGTAAAATTATTGTTGTCTATCTTAGATAATTTCTTCCCTGTCCTTGGTCCCTACCTTCTGATTTTCATCTTTGTTGAGAGCAGCTAGATAATTAAGACATCCACAGATAGTCCAAAAATCTCATCCAGTTCGTAGTCCATTGTTTTCACAGATTCACCTGAGGTCAGAATTGCTCTTCTACAATATTTTTTTTTTTTTTGACAGGCAGAGTGGACAGTGAGAGAGAGAGACAGAGAGAAAGGTCTTCCTTTTGCTGTTGGTTCACCCTCCAATGGCCGCCGCTGCCGGCGCGCTGCGGCCGGCGCACCGCGCTGATCCGATGGCAGGAGCCAGGAGCCAGGTGCTTCTCCTGGTCTCCCATGGGGTGCAGGGCCCAAGCACCTGGCCCATCCTCCACTGCACTCCCGGGCCACAGCAGAGAGCTGGCCTGGAAGAGGGGCAACCGGGACAGAATCCGGCGCCCCAACCGGGACTAGAACCCAGTGTGCCGGCGCCGCAAGGCGGAGGATTAGCCTAGTGAGCCGCGGTGCCAGCCCTTCTACAATATTTTAAGCAAGTTTTTTTTGCAGGTCTTTTTGGAATAAATTATTTTTTTTAAAAGATTTATTTATTTGAAAGAGTTACACAAAGAGAAAGGAGAGGCAGAGAGAGAGCTGAACCGATCTGAAGCCAGGAGCCAGGAGCTTCCTCTGGGTCTCCCACATGGGTGCAGGGGCCCAAAGACTTGAGCCATCTTCGACTGCTTTCCCAGGCCATAGCAGAGAGCTGGATCGGAAGAGGAATAACCAGGACTAGAACCGATGCCCATATGGGATGCCGGCATTTCAGGCCAGCGCTTTAACCCACTGTGCCACACGCCAGCCCCAAAAAGTGTTTTCTTTACATAGAATACGAGTATACTTCAAAAAGTTGGTGGAGAGTATATTAAAAAATATTCATAGAAATTCATAGAATTCAAATTTCATGCATTTGGAAGTCTTAAAAAAGTTCATGAAAATGCGTATTACTAGAAAACTGTGGACGAAGGGGCCCAGTGTTGTGATACAATGGGTTAAGCAGCCGCTGCCTACACTGCCAGCATCCCACAGAGTACTGGTTTGAGTCCTGACTGTTCTACTTCTGATCTAATGTGCCTGGGAAAGCAGCAGAAGATGGCCCAAATGCTTGGTCTCCTGTACCTGCATAGGAGACCAGGATGAAGCTGTCATCTCCTAGCTTCAGCATGGCCCAGTCCCGGACATTGCCATCTAGAATAGTGAACCTAGTGGATTGAAGTTTATTTTCTCTCTATCTCACTCTGTGACTCAGCCTTTCAAATAAAGAAAAAATCTTCTTACACATGTTAAATTTCAAGTAAGCTGCTGCTGCTTTTTTTTTTTTTTTAGATTTATTCATTTAGGGGCCAGCACTGTGGCATAGCTACCACCTGCAGTGCCAACATCCCATATAGGCACCGGTTCGAGTCCCAGCTGCTCCACTTGATCCATCTCCCTGCTAATGTGCCTGGGAAAGCAGCAAAAGATGGTTCAAGGTCTTGGGCCCTGAACCCACATGGTAGACCCAGAAGCTCTAGGCTCCTGGCTTCAGATTGGCCTAGCTCTGGCTGTTGCGGCCATCTGGGGAATGAACCAGTGAATGGAAGACCCCTCTCTCTCTGCCTCTCTCTAACTGTGCCTTTCAAATGAATAAATAAATCCTTAAAAAAAGTACATTCTGGGCCGGCGCCGTGGCTCACTAGGCTAATCCTCCGCCTAGTGGCGCCGGCACACCGGGTTCTAGTCCTGGTTGGGGCGTCGGATTCTGTCCCGGTTGCCCCTCTTCCAGGCCAGCTCTCTGCTGTGGCCCGGGAGTGCAGTGGAGGATGGGCCAGGTGCTTGGGCCCTGCACCCCATGGGAGACCAGGAAAAGCACCTGGCTCCTGGCTCCTGCCATCGGATCAGCGCGGTGTGCCGGCCACAGCGCGCCGGCCGCGGCGGCCATTGGAGGGTGAACCAACGGCAAAGGAAGACCTTTCTCTCTGTCTCTCTCTCTCTCACTGTCCACTCTGCCTGTCAAAAAAAAAAAAAAAAAAAAAAAAAGTACATTCTTTAAAAATTAAAAATTATTCATTTATTTGAAAGGCAGAACAACAGAGAGAGAAAACACTTATGTCCACTGGTTCAGGTCTCCCACTTGGGTGGCAGGGTCCCAAACACTTGGGCCATCTTATGCTGCCTTTCCTAGGCTATGAGCAGGGAGCTGGATTGAAAGTAGAGCAGCTGGGACACAAATTGGTACCCATATGGGGTGCTGGTATTACAGTCAGTGGCTTTATCAGCTGTGTGACAATATCAGCCCCATAAATCTTTTTTTTTTTTTTTAAGCAAACTACAGATGAAATTCAAAAATTTTTGCACCAGCATAAAATTATCTTTTAATTGCATTTTCCATGAACTTTTTGAAGTATCCTTATATTATTAATTCTTTAGTTTCATATAATTTCATAGTTTTTTAAAATACTTTTACTTAATTCTCACTTTTTATCTATATTGTTATTTTATTTATTTGAGAGATGAGCAAGAGAAGGAGAGTGTTCCCATCTACAGATTCATTCCCCAGATGCTTGAAACTATAAGGACTGGGCTGAGCTGGGCTGGGCTGAAGTGAGGAGCCAGGGATGCATTCCAGGTCTCATGAGTGGGTGGCAAGAATTCAGTTACTTGAGCCACCACTGATGCCTCATAGGATCTGCATTAGCAGGAAGGTAGAATCAGGAGCTAGAGACTGGAAATGAACCCAGGTATTCCAGTATGGGACATGGGCATGCCAGCAGGCAGCTTAACAGCTACGCTAAATGCCTTCCCCTCTTACAGCTTGCTTTTATTAGTCCCATAATTCTTTGCTTTTTGTACGTTTATCTCAGCTGCCTAAAAATAATGTCAGGAGAGACTGAGAGTTAATCAGAAGAAATATACAGTAGGAAATAAGCGATGAGCCTTATTCAATAGAATGCAGTATTGACTGTGTTCATTCTAACATGAATGTGCAATAATGTTAACATTCCATTTATCGTGTTTCCTCGTATGTATTTAGCAGGTGGCTTCCCAGGCTACAACCAAGTCTCGTTCTTCCCAATTCGGCGTGGGCAACTTTCAGTCTCCGTCCTCCTTCAGCTCCATGTCCCTCTCCAGCACCTCTACTGCATCATCTGGTGCTGCTGCCTACCCTAGTCTGACGAGTCGTGGATCCAACTTTGGTTAGTTTTTTTTTTTTAAGATTTGTTTATTTATTTGAGAGGCAGAGTTACAGAGAGAAGGAGAGACATAGATCTTTTTTTTTTTTTTTTAAGATTTATTTATTTTTACTTGAAAGAGTTACACAGAGAGAGAAGGAGAGGCATGGGGTGGGGGGGCAGTCTTCCATCTGCTGATTCACTCCCCAGTTGGCCACAATGGCCAGAGCTGTGCCGATCTGAAGCTAGAAACCAGGAGCTTCTTCCGGGTCTCCCACATGGATTCAGGGTAGCAGAGAGCTGGATTGGAAGTGGGGCAGCTGGGACTTTTCCTGCTACACCACAGCGCTGGCCCTGAGAGAAAGAGAAAGATCTTCTATGCACTGGTTTACTCTCCAAATGGCTGCAATGGCTGGAGCTGAGGCAGGCTGAAGCCTGGAGCCATGAACTTCTGCTGGATCTCCCACATGGGTGGAGGGGCCCCAAGTGCCTGGGCCAACTTTTGTTGCTTTCCCAGGCCATAGCAGAGAGCTGTATCAAAAGTGGAGCAGCCAAGACTCAAACTGGTGCCCATATGGGATGTGAACGCCACAGGCGAAGGGTTAACCTACTCTGCCACAGCACAGTTCCCAACTTTGGTTAGTTGACACCAGAGGGAGGGTAATAGGAAAATCATACCACTAAAGAGAAAAGATTTGGTAGTCAAAATTATTTACTTGTGTCCTATGTGCTTTGATGTAATTGTAGGGAGATGCAGTATGACTAGTCCATTTGTAATTTAAAACCTACCCACAAGCTGGTGTTATGGTGCAGTGGGCTAAGCTGCCACTTGAAATCAAAGAATCCTATATTAGGACGCTGGTTTGAGTCCCTGCTTCTGTGCTTCCAGGCTGACTCCCTGCTACCCACTTTATTTTTTTTATATTATTTATTTTTTTGGACAGGCAGAGTGGACAGTGAGAGAGAGAGAGAAAGGTCTTCCTTTACCGTTGGTTCACCCTCCAATGGCCACCACGACCGGCGCGCTGCGGCCGGCGCACCGCGCTGATCCGAAGGCAGGAGCCAGGTGCTTCTCCTGGTCTCCCATGTGGGTGTGCAGGGCCCAAGGACTTGGGCCATCCTCCACTGCACTCCCGGGCCACAGCAGAGAGCTGGCCTGGAAGGGGCAACCGGGACAGAATCCAGCACCCCGACCAGGACTAGAACCCGGTGTGCCGGCGCCGCAAGGCGGAGGATTAGCCTAGTGAGCTGCGGCGCGGCTGCTACCCACTTTAAAGACCCAGATGGAGTTCCAGGTTCTTGGCTTCATCCTGGCTCAGCCTGACCATTCAGCCATTTTGGAAGTGAACCAGAGATGCAAGATGTCTTTTTCTCTGTCTCTCCACTCTGTCACTCTGCCTTTACAATAAATAAAGTCTTTAAAAATAAGTAAAATAAAACCTACCCACATAAAATACCTTAGCACATGTAGCAAAGGACATGTAAAATATTATAATTAGTAGCATGCATTTTTTCAAGATGTATTTATTTGTTTGGAAGAATTACAGAGAAAGAGGTAGAGACAGAGAGAGAGATAGAGATATCTTCCATATCCTGGTTCAGTCACCAAATGACTGCAATGGCCAGGGCTGGGCCAGGCCAGAGCAAGAAGCTTCATCTGGGTCTCCCATGTGGGTCCAGAGGCCCAAGGACTTGGACCATCCTCCACTGCTTTCCCAGGCACATTAGCAGACAGCTGGATCAGAAGTGGAGCAGCTGGGTCTTGAACCAGTGCCCATATAAGATGCCGGTGCTGCAAAAGGTGGCTTAACTCGCTGTACCACAGTGCTGGCCCCAGTAGTGTACATATTTAATCTATGAGCAAATGACTCTTTGGAAAGGCTACCTATGGAAGAAAAATTAATTTGGGGCTAGGTTTTGAAATAGAAGAGGCATTGATTGGCTATAGAGGACAGGAGGTATCCTAGGTAAAATAAATGGCTTGCTTATAAGTTTGAGTCAGTTTCTCCTCTCCAGTTGAATTAGTAGATTGAAAATTTTTATTCTTGTTGTATTTCTAGCTCCTGAGACTGGGCAGACTGCAGGACAATTCCAGACACGGACAGCAGAGGGTGTAGGTGTTTGGCCACAGTGGCAGGGCCAGCAGCCTCATCATCGTTCAACTTCTAGTGAGCAACATGTTCAACAGCCATCAACACAACAACCTAACCAGCCTGAGGTCTTCCAGGTGAGAGACTGAGAAGACTCCAGACAATTAGAAAATTAGAAAGAAATTAGGAGAGAAAAGGTCAAGGAGAAGAGACTGAAAAGGAAACATGCCTGGATTGAGGTGTTTGTTAGGGGTTGGGTGGGAGAAAACAGAGGTGTGTATAGGGACAAATGTCAGGAATTGGAAAGATTATGAACTTAATGTGAGTCACAACCTTTAATCACACAGACTTGATGGTTTCCACAAACTTTTTGAAGCACCCCCCATACTGATGATAACTGAAATTCTGTTTGTGTAAGTCCTGAGAGGATTGCTAGAATAAGTGGAGTAATCTCTGGCAGGACAAGAGCTTGTCTACAGCACAGGTTGAATGAAGGCAGATGGCTGTTGGTGGAAACATAAGAACATAGGATAAGAAACACTCCATACAAAGGGTCTTTGGAAAGTTCATGGAAAATGTGTACTATGGAAAATCTCCATGGATTTCAAGATTTTTTTTTGTACTGAAATAAGCTTATCTTACAACTCTGTATTTCCCTTATGCTTGTGAAGTACCCTTATATGTGTCTGTTGGGAATTACATGAAATGTGGTAGGCAGATTTTCCTGCCTTTGAAAAAGAAGAAAAACTAGAAAGAAGAAAAATGTGGAACTGTAGGAGGAGGACAGCTGGGGGACAGGGAAAAAGGCCGTGGTGTAAAGGAGTCCCGCATGCTGGGAGAAAGGAAGGAGGAGAGCACTTGGCACAGCTAGGAAGGCACTGGGCAGGGTGGTGGTGCAGGGGAATGTCAGGTGGGAAGTGATGCGGTGTGTGACCTGTATTAATCTTTTCCTCTCACTAGGAAATGCTGTCTATGCTGGGAGACCAGAGCAGCAGCTACAACAATGAAGAATTTCCCGATCTAACTATGTTTCCCTCCTTTTCAGAATAGAACTGTTGGGGTGAGGATAAGGGGTGGGGGAGAAAATCACTTTGTTTTTAAAAAGCAAATCTTTCTGTAAACAGAATAAAAATTCCTCTCCCTTCCCTTCCCTCACCCCTGATGTGTATCCCCTTTCCCTTTGGGACTCCCCTGCCCTTCTGCCTCTCTGACCTAACATTTATAGAAGATATGGAATGAGTCTCCAAGGATTTTAGGACCCTTTGAAAATTTGAGGCTAGATGAGATTAGAATGCCTTTCTTTATGTCTCCTGACTATAAGTTGTATAGTTTTTATTTGAGCTAGCGTCAAGGGGCTAGTTAGAAAAACCAGACCTCCACTGTTTGCCTTGGATACTGTGGTGTACTTTTTGAAAGAAATTCTGAGTGGAGGAGAGAAGAATGGTCCTCATATTTGAGGCCCGTGAAGCATGGTAGGCATATTCGGAGCTTTAGGAAATGAGCATAGACTCTTTCTATTGCCTGTGAGCAGTTCCCCTGGAAAGAAACATGTGAGTAAGTGAAAGAGAGACAGTGTGTGTGTGTGTGTGTGTGTGTGTGAGCAAGTGTGTTTCTGTGTTTGTTTCTCCCTTTTAGGGAGTTATGCAAAAATTTGTCCCAGATTTTATCTTTGTCTTTCTGTGTGCTTTTCAAAGAGTCCTAAGGAGTTAAATCTTCCTTCCACTTAGAATTGCAGCTAGAGTATTTAAATAAATGTCCTTGCTGCACTATGTCTATGCCCAGCCCTACTGTAGGCAGATACATAAAATCTGTTAATGTGGTTGATCTATTATCAAACATATTCAGTGATAAAGCTAAGTTGCTACCACATTTGGTGCTCTCACCTTATCTGGAAGATCTGCAAACATTATCAAAATAGGCTGGCTAGATAAAAACTTTCAGAAACCCTGGACGTGGCCATAAAGATAATGCTGCATTTTCTTCAGAATCACACATGATTTGTGTGTGTGTTTTCTATAGAGGTTATTTCTGCATGGAAACTCAACTTCTTGGATTAGCAGTCCTAGTGAAAATCCTCACTGTCAGAGTATAAGCCAAATATAAATTCTTCTGCAAAGTAGCCTCTTCAATCCCATCCTCAAAATACCCAGGCTATCGAGAAACATTTGGGTCTCTCCTGAGCCTGTAGTTCTTTTCTCTTTGCTCTTTCTCCAATCTTGAGATTGGGTTTTGCTTTAGAATGCAAGCATAATTCCATGTGATAGATGGGACTTGGACTCCCGTCCCAACAGGGTCACTTGGTAATTAACTATAGCCATATAAAAGTGGATACAGGTTTCTATTCTCACCTTTTACCTTCCTCAGGTTAGTTATGAATATCAGCCTTTTTAAAAAAAAAAAAAATTGGCTCTGGCCAATATCTAAGTGCAAGGCTGAATTAATTAGGAGAAGGCATATTAAATGTAGTCACAGGGGACTGAAGATCACAAATGGCCTTGGAGAGTCTGAGGGAATGTCGTTTTCTGGGTTTCCCTCCCTTTTGTCTCCAATCCAGTAAGAGGTAGTGAGGTGGAAAGGAGACGGTTTATTTTTTTATTCTATGTGCACACATACAGTATACATATATATTTATATCACAGTTTATGAAACCAAAAAGTTGAGTTTCCAATGGAATCCTTGTTTTTTTAATAATCAACTGTTTTTAAATATGATCAGGACTATAATATTGTACAGTTATTACAGGACTTTGGGGAGAGGGGAGGGTGGGAGAAGATGCTCTGGGGGTTTTGTTTCTGCTTTTCCTTCAGGGTTTTATTTTTGATTTTTTTTTTTTCTCGTTGGCCATTTCTGTTTTGCTGGCATCTGTGCTAAGCCTTACAGTGGCAAAAATAATGACATGTAGCAAAGATTTTAAAACAAGAAATTTTTCCTTTTGTAAAATTTGTGTTGTGTGAACTTGATTGCGACTTTATTCCTTTCCAGCTTATAAGAAGCACCCAGAAGTAGAGGAGACCATAGCTTGCGCTCGAAACAAACAGGCATACACCACAGTGTGAATCGCTCATTTTAGGAATCAGAAATCACAGGATTCTAGTCACTCAGCACCACTCCTCCTCACTGTCCTCCTGACCCTGACGCATTCTGAGTAAAATCAGCAGGAACATTCTAACCACAAGGTTGGGGGTGGGAGTTACCAAGGCTCTTGGGAGAGAGGGAGGGTAAAGTTGGAACTTGAAACCACTAGGGTGCATAATTGATGCCTTAAAGTCCTTGGTTACGTCCTGTTCTGGATTTAAAGGAGTTAGTGATGGGGAAATTTGTTCAGGTCTAGAGCTGATTTCCCTCTAAGGACCACTGTGGTTTATTAGCAACTCTTAAAATCTAGAGTTTAAACCTGTGTTCTTTAGAGTCTCTGTGTGGAATCCAGCTAGAGACTGAATCCAAATCCTATGAAATATCTTTTCTATTCCAGTGACCTTTTTTTCCTGTTTCTTCATAACTGTTTATGGAAGGAAATAGGGGTGTGATTTGGTGACTGAGTTAGATTCTTATGATGTGTCACATGTTTTTTTGCTGGGGAAGCATTTGGAGACACTCATGTGACTGGACTTAGATTGGAGATTTTAATAATGGAGACATAATGTTCGCCAGGCTTCCCAACATCTGAGAGTTATAGCAATACCGTCAGTCACATGAATCCATCGTAAGTTAGGGCATTGATTCTAGTGCTGTCATAAACCAGGAATGTTGGCTTTGGTTACTTTTAGAACCAGTTTCATCTGGATTTTCTGGGCATTTCCTCCCTCACGAAAACCATATTAGGCTAGGAAAGCTAGTCTCCTGCCTGGAAGTGATGACAGCTTTTCACCAACTTAGAAATTACAATTTTGGAAGCTATGGCTTTCCTTATGTTACCCTTTCCTAGCCTGTTACATTTAATTCCTTTAACCCAGAAGTGAGAGAGTCAAATCAAATGTTATGGAGGTGGATCATACAAGGAAAATACTAGGAAAAGATTATAATCCCTCAATAATGGATGTTAAAGAAGAAGGATGGGAGAGAACAAGGCTGTGTCCTTCCATTTTCCTAACTCCTTGTATTTCCCCACCAGAGAAGAAGGTAAGTTCCAGCTTGGTTAATGAGTGTCATGGTCTTTTTTTTTTTTTTTTCTGTCTGCTCCAAAGACAGTCATGCGAAACTAAATACTTAGCAACTCTCCAGCCTGGTACATATATAACACTGCACGCACACAAACACAAATGCTGTGCAAACCCGCTGTCTCCTTCCTTCTTAACACCCCTTCTCAGCATTTCTATCCCCGCCTCCCTCCGTTATCCAAAATTTCCAGCCGACTGCTAGAGCTGACTTCCGCAATCTTGATGGAATAAATCTAGCACCCCTAGTCATCCACCCACATTACGCACACTTCCTGGCTGAAAGGAACCATACACAGCCATCAGCAGGTAAGATTTTCAACTTTTTAGATCCTGTAGCCTCTCTTCCTTGCTAGTTCTTTGTTTTACAAGTATTTGAATTTAGTGAGTTGGGGAATAAAAATAAACTCACTAGGTGCTGCAGATGAAAATAGATGCCTTTGAATCCTTTCCTGGCCAAATGTGCCTAGAAATCGTAACGTTCCTTGTACGATTGTATGTATGTGAACATGGTTGAAAATAGAATTGATGGTGTGACCTTCAGAAGTAGCCTCATACAGTTTTCTGCTTTGGCCAGGGGAGCAAAAGAGTTAACTTGGAGGATTGGGGGGGAGGAGGAGTGTCTGAAAGTGATAGCTCAGTGCTTTCTACTCTGAGGCATCTCCCAAGTTCCGCTGTGTTTTGCAAGTCTGCAAAGATTGCACAAAAATGGACTATAGACTCAGAATTGTGCAAGTCCTGTGACTTGCTGCAGACAAGCAGTCCGATGCAGGAGATGAATCCGCTTCTGAGAAGCTGTGAATTTATTCAATATATAACATTGCTTTTCCACGCTACATTCTAACAAACCTTGGTCCTGAGGCTTTTTGTTTTATCAGCCAGTCACAGAGGTTTTTTATTGCTGGAAACAGAAATGAAACTTTGCTAAAACTTTGCTATTGACAGCATCTGGTTGAAATTAAGACCGCTTCCTGCCTAAGGAAGGGGAAGCATGAAAAAAGAGGAAGAAAGGCGTACATAGAGAGTGAAGAGATGGTAAACATGGATAATAGGAAATACAGGGAACTTTAAAATGTTCAAGGAGAAATGCATGTTTATTTTGGTGCAAAATTAAGAACCACATAGGGTTTTTTCACAAACCACATTTTCTGTGAACTTCTTGAAGATTCCTTGTACTGTTAATTTCCTTTCGCCTTTCCTGGCAAGATCTAGACAAAAAAGAAAAGAATGTCTCGAAAATTGATCAGGAAGCAAACAGCTGGGAATGTCTCCTTTGTGTATTCTCTAACCCCACTCCCACCTTGTCTGTGTCCATGCCTGCTGAGGACCCCAAAAGAGACAGATGGTGAGCCCATCCTGATTGTCCAGTTGCTACCTCATGTCTGATTGTACAAGTGTGTGGGCGCTAGTTGAATCTCCTTGGTCAAAATACTTGGAACCAAATGTGCCAGCATTCCAGACAAATCTAGTGCTCGCCTGTTTTTTGTTTTAGCGTATGAAAATCACCTTTAGTTTTCTGCTGTCCTCACAAAGGCAAGTTTCCCTCTGTTTTGTGATTCAGAGGAAAGGGTTCTTAACTTTGAGTTCATGTATCCTCTAGGATTATTGTTTGGACATGGATTTTTCAAGTAAGAGAGACTAATATATTAGCTCCTCAAAGGAGGCTATGACTCCTAGCCCCTTTCTGGGAATACCACTCCAGCTGTTTTCCTGATGCCAAGCAAGGTAAGCTAATTACCACCTTTCCTCAGGATGTGGGGACTCAAGGTTCTGCTGCTACCCGTGGTGAGTTTTGCTCTGCACCCTGAGGAAATACTGGACACCCAGTGGGAGCTATGGAAGAAGACCTACAGCAAGCAGTATAACAGCAAGGTGCCTGGGGACCTGGAGGGGAGCATGGCAGATGGGCTGGGACTTGAGATCTCCAGTCTTTGGCCGGTGCCGCGGCTCACCAGGCTAATCCTCCACCTGCGGCGCCGGCACACCGGGTTCTAGTCCCGGTCGGGGTGCTGGATTCTGTCCCGGTTGCCCCTCTTCCAGGCCAGCTCTCTGCTGTGGCCCGGGAGTGCAGTGGAGGATGGCCCAAGTGCTTGGGCCCTGTACCTGCATGGGAGACCAGGAGAAGCACCTGGCTCCTGCCTTCGGATCAGCGCGGTGCACCGGCCGCAGCATGGCGGCCATTGGAGGGTGAACTAACGGCAAAGGAAGACCTTTCTCTCTGTCTCTCACTGTCCACTCTGCCTGTCAGGAAAAAAAAAAAAAAAAAAGATCTCCAGTCTTGCTTCTTCCATACAAAAGTACTTTACTCCAACTAAGCAACCTTATCCCTGTTCTGTAACAGCATATGGTTTTCATTGCTGTGCCTCAACTCACTGAAACCAAGACCTGTCCTTCTGGGGCCAGTGTAGTATAGCAGGATAAGCCTCCACCTGTGATGCTGGCATCCCACTTAACAACCCAACTACCTGCTAATAAGCTTGGGAAAGCAGCAGAAGATGGCCCAAGTGCTTGGGTCTCTGCATCCACATGGGAGACCTGGAAGAGGCTCCTGGCTCCTGGTTTCAGCTTGGCCCAGCCCTGGTTGTTGCAGCCATCTGGGGAGCGAACCAGTGGATGGAAGATTCATATTCATTCTCATTCTCATTCTCTCTTTTCTCTCTTCTCTCTTTGGTCTCCCTCCCTCCCTCCCTTGCCCTTTCCTTTTTTTTTTTTTTTTTTTTGACAGGCAGAGTGGACAGTGAGAGAGAGAGACAGAGAGAAAGGTCTTCCTTTGCCGTTGGTTCACCCTCCAATGGCCGCCGCGGCCGGCGCGCTGCGGCCGGCGCACCGCGCTGATCCGATGGCAGGAGCCAGGAGCCAGGTGCTTTTCCTGGTCTCCCATGGGGTGCAGGGCCCAAGCACCTGGGCCATCCTCCACTGCACTCCCGGGCCACAGCAGAGGGCTGGCCTGGAAGAGGGGCAACCGGGACAGAATCCGGCACCCCGACCGGGACTAGAACCCGGTGTGCCGGCGCCGCTAGGCGGAGGATTAGCCTAGTGAGCCGCGGCGCCGGCTGCCCTTTCCCTTTCTTTCCCTCCCTCCCTCCCTCCCCTTTCTATCTCTGCCTTTCCAAAAAAAAAAAAAAAGCTATCTTGTGTTTCTCTTTGGGAAAGTCTTCTCAAATGAGTACTATTAATAAATAAGCAGTTTCTCTATGTCTTTCCAGATGTTTATGTTGCATTATTTGTATTAGTTTACATCTTTCTTTTTGCCTGATCATAATAATCCATGGTTAGTTCCCAAACTTGATTGTAAAATCTATAATTGTAAGTTTCAGCTTTCCTCCTAAAAACCTGCACAGTATTACCTATGTCATTTTGCACACAGTCTATGCAAGTACTGACTATGCTCTGTTTAGGTGGATGAAATCTCTCGGCGTTTAATTTGGGAAAAAAACCTGAAGCATATTTCTATCCATAACCTTGAAGCCTCTCTTGGTGTCCATACATATGAACTGGCCATGAACCACCTGGGGGACATGGTAAGTTGATCTTAGAGCCCTTGACCTACCTGCTGTTTTTGCCGTAGTTCCCTGCTGATGCCTGGATTCTTCCTTCTTTGTCTCAGACCAGTGAAGAGGTGGTTCAGAAGATGACTGGCCTCAAAGTACCCCCGTCTCGTTCCCACAGTAATGACACACTCTACATCCCTGACTGGGAGGGCAGAACCCCAGACTCCATCGACTATCGAAAGAAGGGATACGTTACTCCTGTCAAAAACCAGGTACTCTCCTTCTGGGTGTGGTC